GCCCCGCGGGGAGGGGAGGAGCCAAGGGTGGTGGTGGCGGAAGGCGAATGGAATTGGAGTGAGGAGGCGGAGGAAACGCAAACGCGAAGGGGAAGGGGCGAGAGGAGGGCGAGGCAGAAATATAGGTCGGAAGGAAGGACGCGTGAAGGCGGTCGGATAGGCTCGGCCCAAGGCCCATGGACTATCTGGTGGGCCTGTGAGACCTGCTGACTGCTGAGTGACTTGTTTGGGCCGGATTGCTGGGCTTCTGTTTCTCGGGCTGTGGCGTGTAGGCCTATGAGTTTGTGGGCTGTCTTCGTCTAAAAAGCCGTTTCCGAGTTTCACATGTTTAAACCGGACCCGATTCAGGTGCAGTAGCTAGTGTGATGCAAGATAAGCAGTCACACTAGCATCGCATGATTAAAAATGGACGTCCGAGATACATCTGAGACTGTAGAAAACACTGTAGCATTTTACTGTGGAAGGGTACTGTTCTAATTGTACTGTGCCAAATCCTTTTTGGCCGTTAGATTTAGACATAGAGGGCTCAGATTGTGTGCAGTCCTAATAGCTACTGTATTTGATCTCAATTCGTTAAAACCCTATAAAACAGGAGAATAAATAAGCATCACCAACAGTCCTTCTATTTTATCCCTATTTCATCTCAAAATCAATTTTGAGGGATTTTAGTGAAAGAAAGCACTCAAACGAGTCCCTTACTCAGTTGCATGATTTTTGGAGTTCTCTTTCCCGAAATATTTGCTCTGTTGATATACGGGAGAAAGCGGCTTCCTTGCCCACTTCCAATCTAGCTGCTCCCACCTTCCTCCTCTCCTGGCGCGGCTTCAGGGGAGCGCCAGGAGATAGTGTGCGCTGACGAAGTAAAATGGAAATTCTTTTGGTAGTTTAATAAGGTCTCACTTTTATATTTTTTTTAATAAAATTTAGGTTTTTCTTTAAGATATTACTTATTTTGTTTCCTATTTTGAGTTTATGAAAAAAAAACAAATTTTTAGAGGTTATATGTAATCTCTTGGTGATGCTCTAATGATGTCATCTCCAGTGCACTGCACGGGAGTTCAAGTAAAGAAAAAAAAATATGCGTATTCCATTCGTCGGTAAATATACAAAACTCGATTACTTGTGCACGAATATTCCCGTTGGAGCGTCAATGCAAATCTAGGAACTGAGGGCCTGTTTGTCACAGCTCCAGCTCCAACTCCACCTCTCCCGGAGCTGGAGCTCAACCAAACCGTTTCAGCTCCACCTGAAATGGGAGCGGAGCTAGTGTTCTCTCATAAAATGAACTAGAAAGGTAAAGCTGGGTTTAGACAGCTCCACAACTTCACTCCAGACCCAACTCTTGAAGCTAAATTTATAAGTTAGAGTTCTACCAAACAAGCCCTGAGATGTGACCACCCAGCGCTTGGTATGTCTTTCAATAAAGGCTGCCATCGCCAAATCATGGTTTTCTTAGACAAAACCATCAGAAGCTCACTTGGTAGTTGGTACGGAACGGTCAAAATGCTGGAAGAAGTTAAAGCCTCCAAAAGAAAAGGAAAGACCCCGTTCCCGATAAATACTGATCGTCACAGTAAGGGCTTACTCGTTTTAAAGGATTTTTTCACTCATAGGATTAGGAAAAATGAAGGAATAGGGATAGCTGTGGAGTCCAATCCTATGGGAAGCTAAACGTCAGGAATTTAAAAAAAGTGTGCATTCGGATATACCGCAGGAGAAGTGTAGGAAATCTGCCGTTTGAAATATATTTTTTTAAGTTTGCATCAACTGACATCGGCCCTCAACTAGCCGTTAGCTTTGAAGTGCATAAATAGCCCTCGTTAGCCTTGTGCACCATTTTCCCCTGTTCTTTCTATTTGCTCATCAACTGTGGAAGAAGCTTGCTGATCCTTTGCTCTTCTCTTCACTATCTGCATAATTTTTCCAGAAGCTTTACTCATCGTCTAGCCACCATAGCTGGACGTTACTTGCTCGTGTAACAACAAGGTACTACTTGTTCATCTGGTGCACCAAAATTGTTTTTTCCTCAGCAAAAGTCTTGATTTTTAGCTCTCTTCTATTTGAGTTTACAGCATCAGTTTGGTAACATCTGCACACCATGAATCCAAGCTACCGACGTATATCAGAAAGTGATGATGAGTTCATTCATTTTGTTCTGCCTACTTTAGGAGATTCATCACAATCATCTTGTATTAGGAGACCAATGCACACGTCAAAACTTACAGGGGGTTGCCGTGTACATGAGATTTTAACAGGACATGAAAGATTATGCAAAAGAAACTTCCGTATGGAGGTCGACATTTTTCATGCACTAGTCAATAAGTTACGTGAGAAAGAGTACCTAACTGGCACTATATGTTTCAGTAGAAGAGCATATTGCTATATTCTTATATACAGTGGCAAAAAATGCAACCAATGAAACACTTCAAGATTGGTTTCAGCATAGTCCAGATACAATACATAGATATTTCAAAGCAGTGCTGGAAGCAATCACAAATCTCACATCTGTCTACATTCGTGCACCATCCCTACACCCACATCCAATCTTGAGGAAACCACAATTTTACCCCTTTTTTCAGGCATGGCCACTTGTTAAGTTGTTCTGATTTCATATTTTGAATATCCTAATTTTTCATGAACTGGACAAAAATAACTTTGACATGTCTTGTTTCTGTGTAGAATTGTATTGGTGCTATAGATGGTACTCATATCCCTATGAAACTTCCATTGGATGAGCAAGAGCCATATAGAAATAGGAAGCAAACAATCTCTCAGAATTGTATGGTTGCTTGTGATTTTGATTTGAAGTTTGTGCATATACATCCTGGATGGGAGGGATCAGCTTCAGATGCAAGAGTTTTACATAATGCACTTAATCATGGTTTTCAAGTTCCTGGTGGTAAATTTTATCTCGTAGATGCTGGTTATGCAAATACTACTTGTTGCTGCTCATCGCCGCCGCCCGCCGGCAACAACTTCTCTGAACCAAACAAGATTGCCATTGGGCAGGCGCTATGAACCCTTGTGTGTTACAGCTGCGACCCCATTCGCGGCGACCCAAATGCTAAGGTATATGCAAGGAAGCAGCAGGGGGCATCAGATCTACGCATAACAACGCAAGAGGAGGCACCAAACCTGCAATCAACGCGTCCTTGCCGATCTCTGCCGTGGCTCTTCTCGTTGTTGCCGTTGCGTCCTGTCACCTGGGCGGCGAAGGTGCATCCGGTGCCGGCGATCGATGTGGGAGAGGAGGTCCAGTACCCAATCATGGAGCCAGGAGAGGAAGTGGTAGAGGAGATGGGATCAAAGGCGATGGCTTCTATGCGAGTCTGTTTGCCTCCTGTGATTTTTTTTTATTTTCCTTTCAGCGCCGGTACCTACCTTTTTTGTCGTGAGAGCGAAAAGATTACGCGCGCGGTGCGCTCGTGGCGCGCTCTTTTCGCGCCAGGAAAATTTCCAAGAGGTCGTACTAGATGCAAAAAATCCTATGTTTTACCGATACAGCTGGCACAAAAGGAAATTTTCCTTCAAATTTCCTATAGCTCAATCCTGTAAACCGAATGCTGTATACAGGATTCAAATCCTCTGTTTTGGAAATCCTTTGGTTTTCCTTAGAAACGAATAAGCCCTAAAAGCTTTTGCATTGCAGGATGCAGGATTCAGTACAGGTGAATGCCCCTGTTTGATTTCATGGGCTAATGTTTACCCCTCACCTTTTAGCCTCAAATTAGCTCTCAAGAATACAAACAGGTGGGCTAATTTTGAGCTAATGTGAATTAGCCCCCCTTAAAACATTAGCCCCTTCAAGGGGTGCTAATGGGGCTAATTTTGTGTGGTGACCATCAAAAGGCAGCTCTATCTCCTTCTCTCTCCTCTCTTTCTACTATTTCTCCACCTTTTAGCCTTGAATTAGCCTATGGATCCAAACGTACCACCCTAGGCTAATGTTTAGCCTACCAATTCATGACTAAGTACTAGCTCTCAAAATTAGCTCTGGGCTAATCTTCTAAACAGGGCCCAGGTACACTGCAGATGTGCCGTGATGCCATCCAAATTCCATGGATAAGGATCATCCAAATTCCTCTGATTCTCGAGCTACGGTTGATGTTTGTTCCGTGGCTTTAACTGAAAATCAAAAGTGCCGCTCATCTGATGTCAGGGACTGCACGTGCCGGGCAAGCTTTTGCCATGTCCACCAGCACAAGGGCCCTGAAGCCTGGCCTGGGACGTCCATACCAAGATGATAAGATGAAGGAAACATGCCAAATAGTACCAGTCGTTCATGTTTCGTCATCCATCATTTTTGTTCCGCGGCCGAATTGAATCCTGGAGGATGAAGTGCCGAGGAGATACATTTTGGTGCTTTTGTACAGTGTTACTGCAGGAGCAACACTGCAAATTAAAGTAGAGGCACTGAGCCGGCGAGGGGCCGCAGCGTGCAATGGCTGGGATGTCCTGTGGTGGCTGGTAACTGGTAAGCACCAGCCATCAGGCACTCACTCGCTCTAGAAGTTGGGGCTAATTAGCTGCATTAACAAGTGGTTAGTAGCTGACAGTATTTAATTTCTGCGAGCTGTTGCTAGCAGAGAGCCAGAAGACTACCTATATCCTACGCTAACAAGTGGCTTGCCGTTAATATACAGTGGGACAGTGAGACTGTCAGCTCATGTGTTCTTCTGAGGCATGCATGTGAAAACAAACAACTGGTCTACTGCGTCAATGCATAACTCAGCCTGGTAGAGTGGTAGGTAATGTTGGCCTTGGCTTGTGGGCATCTTGATTTGAGACATTTACCACTTGTCCTGTTAGGACATCAGGAACAGCTTAAACAAATGTTTGATATCCCAATAGGCAATCGCCGACGCGAATCAGCATGATGAGTTTCCAACCTCCGAATGCTCTGATGATGCTGATTCCACCATCTGCAGGTGCATCTCGGCATCTGTCACTGGGCACTGAGCTTATGATTGCGAAATTTGGCATCAAGAATTATACTTGTATAAACAGATTAACATCCTTAAAAAACTATGATCATGAAATGCGCTCGATTCCCATTTGTAGGAGAGCATCAAGTACAGAGTTTTTCTGGCTTTTTTTTTCTCTTTTTTTCTGGAGCAACATTGTTCTGATTCCAGGTGCAAATGTATCAAGAAAGAAAAAACGAGCAACCTCACAACAAGGCCCCATCAAAGCCTGAAAATTTACACGGATTCATCAGGGCCAGAGTTTCCCGAGCAGCCCTGTCATCCTGAGGTGTCAAACTCAACTTCACAGTGTGCAAACGCGCCAACCTTTGCAAAGCTAATCAAGGCCGGGTGAAACACCGAAAAATACAGATTCACCGCTCGACGATTAACCATCGTATGATCGTGTTCTATGCTTGACGCCATTGGCAGGGCATCAGCTCCCCGTCGTTTCGTCGATGCTGTGCAGCGAAGGCCGCCATTGCCGGTGCCGCGCGCTGGAGCTCCGGTTGCTGTCCTGACGCGCCAACTGCAATCAGGTGGGTAAACAGTAGAGTAATCAGAAAAGATGGAACCTTTGCATGTTGCCGCGGTCTCAGAAGTGGTAAGGAATCTCGCAATATGGTCCTGGAAACCTGACACTAGTTGCTACTCCACTCACTAAATTTAGAGAAACCAACTATTAAAACCAGTTGGCCCCATAGGGCCACAACCTTATAATCTTATTGAATGCATGTCACTTGGAGGTTGGGAATAGGTAGTACTGTATTCTCAACTGGGCTCATTAAGACGAGGACTCTTGATTTCCGTGATTACTAGGGAGATTCAGCGGTTGCAAAAATCTTAAATGGAAATCCCAAAACCAAAAAAAAAGAACACTTCTTTTGGATGATAAAGTCAGATAGACAGAAGTTAAAAGGAGATAGAGAATCATGGAAGGACACGGTGATCGCGAGGAACAACTAACGACAGCATCTGAGAGAGACAATTTAGGCTGAGTTCGGATGGGGGAGATGGGAACCCAACTTCTGCGCACGGAAAACGGAGCAGTCCATTAACACGTGATTAATTAAGTATTAGCTATTTTTTTTAAAAAGGGATTAATTTGATTTTTTTAAGCAACTTTTGTATAGAAACTTTTTATAAAAAATACACCGTTTAGCAGTTTGAAAAACGTGCACGCGGAAAACGAGGGGAAGGGGATGGGAAAAGGTGAATGCGAACACAGCCTTAAAGAAGTAGTAGGAGCATGTATCAATCATGCCACGGACGTGCATGGGAGCATCGAACAAAAAGTGGTTGGATTAAAGCAGGACAGGTTACTACCACTCTGATCCATGTAAACCCACCTGATCAAGACTCGCATCCAACGCCGCCTCGTCGTCGAAGTTGTCGCTGTCGTTGTCGTTCTCCTCCGCGGCCTCATCCACCTCCGCCGCCGCCGAAGCGGCGGCGCGTGCCTTGCTCTGCAGCTTCTGCCTCGACTCCTCCAGCTGCTGCTGCGCCTTCCTCACCTTCTCCTCCTTCCTCGCCTGCACCGCCTTGGTCACCTCTGCAACAAAAATCACAACAAACGCATTCGGTTTAGTCGCACGAAGAATTAACCGAAGCGAAGGAAGAAGGAGATTAAAGGGCGAGTGAGTGATGTATACGCATACCGTGGGTGGTGATGAGGCGGTAGGCGTGGCCGAGGAGGAGGGTCTCCTTGGGCTTGAGGAGCTTGACGCGGGTGAGGCGCACGGTGCGGCGCGCGCCGCCGTCGCCGTCCTGGCGCTCCTCGGCGACGCGGAGCGTGACGAGCGCGATGTAGTGCCCCGGGTTGGCGCGCATCACCTCCGCGGCGCTGGTCGACCAGCACAGCCGCTCCACGCGCCCGCCCGGGTGCTGGATCACCACCGCCGCCGCCTCCGCCGCCTGGCAATTCCCCATCCTCTCCCCCCCGCAACGCTCGATCACACACGGTTAGCTAGCCGAGCCCCCACCGCTATACGGGAACGGGAGGGAGGCGCGCGCGAGGTGGACACGGCACAGTGAGCAGCGCTGCAGCAGCAACTGCCCGAGCGACGAGGTGGTGTAGTGGTATATATGGAGAGTGGACTTGACCAACACGTATCCTGTATGTATCCACCTCCTCCCCCGCTGCTGTCTTCGGCGCACCTACCGCTCAAACGCGCCGCCTGCTCCTATATGTGGTCGTGACCTGCGAGTCGCGGCAGAAAAAAAAAAGAGATTTAAAGAGGGGAGGTCCCTCCAAACAATTTAAAGAAATTATGTGTTAGAAATTAAACACGGGATCTCGAAGTTGAAATCACACAACTCTTACTTCTGCACCATCAAGTGCATCACAGAGTAGCGGCAACCCACCACCTACCTGGGGTCAAAATGGTTAAAAAACAGACGAAAATAATTCTAATGTTTTTATTTTTATTTTCATACTTTTCTTAACTGGAATAGAAATAGAAAACCTCATATTATTGAATATGATAACAACTCAACAACGAACATTTTCCCTTTTTTTTTCAAAAACAAGTTTGATAACCGAAAAATTTCCAATACGTTTTTATCCCTACTCCCTCCGTTTTAAAAAAGGCAAACCCTAAGTTTCCGTGTTCAATTTTGACTGTCCGTCTTATATGAATTTTTTTTATTATTCGTATTTTCATTGTTGTTAGATGATAAAACATGATTACTATTTTATGTGTGACTTATCTTTTTATTTTTTTATAATTTTTTAAAATAAGAAGGACGGTCAAACGTTAGACACAGAAAACAGGTTTTTTTTTTTTTTTTTTGAAGGAGGGAGTACGTAACAGGCAGCGCATGGGCAGAGCTACGAGGCTACGAGCAGCTAACGCGAGCGAGCGAGCGTGTCGCGGTGCGGATTACGAGCAGGAGGCCAACCCGCCCGGGCACGGCGCGCGGGGGGGGGGGGGGGGGGGGGGGATCGGTCGTTTTCCCGTGCGAGGCGCGAGGGGGCCACCGTTTTTCCGTGGAGCGACGCGCACGTGAACGCGGGGGTTGGCACGTACATGTTCCGGGGCGGTTGTTTGTACTCGTCCGGAACGGGAAGCTCTGCCTTTCTGACGTTGTGGCCGCGTAAACGAACAGTGTGGTGCACAGTGCGGAGATGGGAACACACCCGTGCGTGTCGCATCGGCCATCGGCGCCGGTCGCTTTCGCGGGTTCGTCGTGCGGTTTGGACCATGAAAAGCCAAGCCAAACCGACCGAGCCATCAGCCTACTACTACTACTACTATGCCCTTTCGGGCTAGCTTCACCCGTGCGGCTTGCTTCCGTTTCCTTTTCTTTTTCTACCGTTTTTTGCATTGAGAATTTTGAGTGGGGGTCGCTGTCCTATGTACGTACGTTTGGATCGATTCACTGGTGTAGCTAACTCAACCCATGCTGGTAACGGGGCTAAGGATTTGGCGAACAATTGTGAAGTTTTGTATTGGTGAAGTTGCGAAGAGCTGCCAAACTTGTGCCAAAACGTTGTATTCTAGCAGTGCCACTAGTAGAGAACTTTGGGCGTATTCATCTGTAAGAGAATCTTCCGTTTTTTTTGTTTTTGTATACATCTAATGCATGCCAAAGATAGAGCCGGCCACACAATCTTTTCTTTCACGTAACTGGATTTTTAGTCCTCTGAAAGATGCTACTAGAATTAGCTCAGGAGCAACACGAACACATGCATGGATTAAGTGAAGTCAGCTCTGGTCCGGTAGCCAAATATTCTGGTCCACATGTCAATTGGCGACCACTACCTAACTAGCTATGGAAGAATTAATTAAAAAGGGAAAGGCTTTGCCATTTACATCGGGCACCAAAATGTTACAAACTTACAATATGTACTAGTATAATATGCGATGCAAAATGCAGTCTAGTTCCATGACGTCTTCGAGGCTCCTTCGTTAATTTTGTTTACAAACGTCACAGAGAAGTTCCATGATGGATGGCACATATCATGGCCCAAAATACTGCTTCTATCACAGTTCTGTGATCATGGCTTGGTCTTCAGTATTTTTTTTTTTGGTTCTGCACTCTGCGGTTTGCTGATAATGGAATAGACTACCTTATGATTTGCGACGACAATGTCTTCTGGTTACCGTCCAACCAGCAACATCCTGAAAACAAGCTAGTCCAATTTAGTATTTTAATTGTATCCTAAATGCTTCTCATGGAAGAGGGAGAGAATAAGCGAACAGGCCTGTTTTAAAAACAGAGTTTAGCTGAGGTGTTTACAGTCTATCAAAATATGAAGTTCCGAATGAGATTATAGGTGTCATGGGCCAGGGGAACCGATAAGCATCGATCTCACGATGTTTAGTCAATTAGGGCCACTCCATTTTTGCGCTGATCTTCATCCTGATTACATGGTGAGGGTCAACACTCAACAACGGCAACGCAGTTATCAAGGCAAGTTAAACGTCAGTATCTTGCGGCGTGATGTCAAGATCGAGTGTCACGTAATCCCACAGGGCTGTTTCGACGACCCAAGTGCTGATGAATTTAATGAGGCCATGTGCTCTGCTTTGTGCGAGAGGCTGCCTTCTCGCACACCCTCAGGCCCATGCCGTCTTCCTCCGTACTCCTCCTGTCAAGAAAAAAAAATTCTAGAACAGAATGTAACATATTCTTATACTATGAATTTAAGATATACTCGATTATATTTTTAAATAATAAAAGCTTTTATTAAACTTAGTCAATTACATCAAAGTGATACAGTTATCCTGAGAACACCTCTAACCTCTACATAACTAAGATACATACAGCTGAACATACAAAACCACACTTAAAAAGAAAAAAAATAATACTAACATGGAGTGTCGAGGACCATCAATAAAAGACTAAATTGCCACCCATTAATTACATACTCCCTCCGTTCTTAAAAAAACAAACCCTGAATTTCCGTGTCCAATGTTTGATTGTCTGTCTTATATGAAATCTTTTTATAATTAGTATTTTTATTGTTGTTAGATGATAAAACATGATTAATATTTTATGCGTGACTTATCTTTTTAATTTTTTTATATTTTTTTTAAATAAGACGTACGATCAAACGTTGGACACGAAAAACCAGGGTTTGTTTTTTTGGAACGGAGGGAGTACACTCCAAGCATATATGTTTAGCTTCGTAGTACTAGAATGTGTCACATCTACTACTGTTTGTTTTTTTAAGGGACGGAAGCTACTGCTGCTGCTGCCGTTTTGCATGCGTCACACATCGACCAGTTGACTGACAGGTGGGCCAAAAACCGAGTTGGCCACCGTCGTCAGTGACATATCCGAGAGCTGACTGCACCAGTCAGGATTCAGGAAACATAGGATGGGGTATTGGGGTTTGCTATGCCCATGTGTACGACATGGTGATGGCATGTTACGCAGGGACATCTTCCTTTGCAAGTTGCGATCTTGCAACAGAGGCAGCATAGTGTATGTTTGTTTCCTGTGATGCTGAGATGCGCACAGGCGAGGACCGCATCGCTGTCAGTGTGCTCACGCACAACTGCACATCGACCGGGCAGCCCGTAAATCGTGTGCAATTGCGTGGCTAGTTTGACAATGTTTCTGACTTTTTTGTGTCATTAGCTCTTTGTGCACGGATGGAACAGTTGAACAGGATAGCGAAACGGTGAAACGATGAAGCACATATGTTTGTTGCCTTCGGTGCGTTGCCTGCCATGGAGCGCAAGTGGGAGATTTGGCGATCGTGTTGTTGGCTCTGCGATGCAATTGATAATGCGATTGCGGCAAATGCATGGGCCAACGAAGGCCAGGCCCACTCGAATCATTTCGGCAATAATGCGTGCACATTTACAGCACATGCACCTGAGCCATACATTTATTCAGACAAGGCTTGTATATACTCCTATCTGTTATAAATTTTCCATTTCTTTGACTGAACTAATCTTGGACTAGAGGCCCAAAACCATGCCAGAAAAATAAATTGCAGTAGCTCGACCAGGGACCATACGTTCGCAACTGGGCAAACTTGTAGTGTAAAAATTAAACTTACTAGTATTGAATATCACATATCATAACATCACGAATACAGATAGATTATATTTTGTTTGTTTATTTTGAGATGGAGAGAATACCATTATTAATCTGTATCCTCCTCACTAGCAATAGTAATTCAGTACTGGCACCAAGTGTCATTTATCTGTTCATCAGTGCTAATAAACCCTGTGACTGTGAGGCTGTGACCCTCATCATCATCGCCTTTTCTGCTTGATGGTGGTGCGTTTGTGTCAGTGGTGGTGCCGACTGCCGAGCCCGTGTCCGTGCAGTGCCGATCGGCGTTGGCACCATCTGGGGCGGCGGTTTTGTCAGGTTTCAGGGCCGTGAGAACGCCTCCTAGCTGTCGAACGGTGGACGGAAGCAAAGCAATGATCGCCGTGGGTGTTGGTGGTCCAACGACTGTCGTGAGCCGTGACCACACCCCAAATGGCCGATCGATTAGCATCGCTGCATCATCCTCTCTCGGTTAGCCCCCATCTGCTTGTTGTTTCCTGTAGATTTGCCGGTTTCCTCCTTGGTTGCGTGCGTCAGAAAGACGGGAACGCAAAATTCTGGGAGTAACATGACGAAATTTCTTCCTTCGCTGAAGGCGATCGTTTTAGGCTATTGCTATCAGATGGAGGCGGCTCAGCTGAAGATCTTTGCATATTTGTGAAGTACTAGTAGTCCATGTGTGATATGGTCGTATGGCACAAAGATTTGGCGCGATAAACTGACAAGGGCAGTCCACATGATTTCACATGGGAAGTACCATTTCTTTATCAAACTCCAATTCCTATCTTGTTTCGTTTCCGCGAAAATCTCTCTCGTTCTGATCAGTGGGCAAGATACACAGCAAACGGAGGTAGATACTTCCCATCCATCAAACGATAAAAAGACATTCCGATGCATCACGCATTTGACTATCGGAGGGTATCAAAAGAACAACAGGCCATGACAAATCTGCAACAGTTCTCTTCGTGTTCATGGCATAACATGGCAAAATAGCCGGGGCCAACCTTAACAACCAGATCAAAGAATGTTGAGAACATAATCTAATCTCTAGAAATCATAGATGCAATAATATACAAGCACATGCGGGATATACCGCTATAGGGTCACGGATGGATCATTGGAGAGCAAGCCATGAATCGGTACAAACAAGAGAATGTTGTCAATGAACAGGTCTTATCCACACGTCGGACATCAGGACACGCATAGGAGTAGTTCTGAGCGGACGAAACCACAATCTGAACATTTTACCTTTAGGTAGACCTAGAAAACGAACCACGAGTAATAACTCAGGAGTATATAATCTAGCATCTACAGAGTGCTAGCAGAATCGAGAAGAAATAATTAAGAAAATTTTCATCAAGCAGTACACGGGGAGTAAGCATCTGAAATGTAATTTTCATCAAGCAGTACACGGGGAGTAAGCATCTGAAATGTACTGCAGTTGCTGCACTAGTAAAATTACCAGCTACGGCTACGTTCTGTCAACAACTCCACAGGAATAGGTCATATCGGAATCCATTGCTAACAGAGCACAAGAAGTACCAACCACAATAAAGATACCATTCCATTGTATACTAAAGCCTACATACAGATTTTAGCTTCACTGGTATGATCATACAATGATACTTCCTCCATTTTTCTTTATTTGACATCCAACGTCAAACAAAAAAAAATAGAGGTAGTATTAAAATGGCGTTGTCAATCCATTCAACTCCTTTCTAGGTGAGATAGCCCACATGATGTAAGAATCAAGAGCCATTTTCATGTGCAAATGAGTAGCCAAAATTTCCTACTATTGCCCCCAGATAGGTTAAAATATACATCCGTGCCATAATTCCACCAATATTTTTTTGTTCATACCACAGGATTCCCTTTTGTTTAAAGGTCTACGATTTCCACATACCTAGAGAATTCAGGCCAACAGTTTGCCACTTCCAGGGAACCTGTTCATAAGGGACAGACAGTACACAGTAACCTACTCTTGCATTAGCCACGGTATGCTCATACTGATGGGAAGAACTTGTTCAGGTTGAACGGCAGGGAATAGAACTCCTCGCTTCTTGTGTCAGTCCTGTATGATCGGAATTTATCCCACCAATGGTGTCCTCGATCTTTTCTGACAGAACTATCATGCCTGTGAATCGTGTTGTCCAGCAAATATGCAACAAAGCCAGCAACGAATGCCTTTGACGAGAATATGACATTCACGATGTCATTGAACTGTACAAGTTAATGAATCAAGTGATTAATAACTCAAAAGCAAGACTATTACTTTTACAGAAAATATACTAAAGATCATGATGTTACTTACCCATCTTGAGTGTGTATGAACAGGACCATAACCAGCAACAGATGTGTACTCGTTGAAGTACTGAGGAACAGAAAGGCCCATAAAAACTGAGAACCCGAGGATGAACTTGGTCCTGAAACTATTGAGATTGCAGAACTGAAGGAAACCAACCCCAGCAGAACCTGTTGACAACGTACAACACATCTTTAATAAAAACATAAAACTATCTTGTAGTGCAGACTACAAGTGAAAAGAGAAGTGCAAACATAAGTAGCCTGAATCATTCCCTTCCACCTACCGACATATGCAAAGAAGATACAATAGAGAGCTGCAAAGATCGGCGGAGGTATTGATGCAAAGACAGCTCCAAATTTTCCTGATTAAAAGAAAAGCATTATTAGTACAACATAAATGTGCTTAATAAAATGATCATAGCCAAATTATTTGCTATGCATAATGCTATGCGCTTTGAATAAGACAGTGGTAAAAAAATCGTGTGGATGCAAAAGAGATTTAAGCTACTTTTAGCTGGATTGCATGAATTAGAAGCTTACTTTTCATCCTATATTTGTTTCTTTTGAATCTAACATAATCTGACCATATCACAGTTATGCAACCGAATCAGCTCTAATATCCCAAAATCATATAGTTACAGAAACACTTTTGTCTTCTAAAATGAGAATCCAGGCATCGTCGACAGGTATGTGCTAAAGTCATTCTTAAATTAGAATTTAGAAATGCATAATAATTGATGGCTGAACATTCAATACAACAGAAGCTATAGCAAAGGGTAAAAGAGAGAGTTAGCACAGTAATGGTTGTACTAAATGTTAAACAGTGAAATAAAATGAGCATTATAACTTAGGGATAATATGCTGGATTATCTTAGTTCAGTTTATTCAGTAGACTGGTTTGGTGTTATGATGTGTCCATCCTTGGAAAACATGTTTGTAATAAGTTTGCCTTGGAATTTCAAAAAATAGTCAATATCTTTAAGCATCAACCTTTGATCATATTCAAGCACAGTTCTCAGATGTTTTCTTGAGTTAAGACACCACATATACTAACAGCCCAGGAAAACTGAAGGGAAGATCCCCCTATCCAAATACTACTGTTAGTATAACTAATCCATGCAACACTTACATAAGATTAATAATTTGGAAGCTTTAGTGGATACGCTGTTAATTTATTTTAGTACATACCTAGAACATCCATCTCCGATGACCTACTAGATTTCCAAAAAAAAATTATAAGATTCGCAGGTAACATACTTACCCAGAATAGAGAAGAATATCATGAAACCAGCTGATATCTGCACCACTCTTCGGCTACCAACACGTGTCAAAGCTAGCAATCCAGCATTTTCACTACAGGTAAGGAAAAGAATGGTTGTATCAAATGAAATTAGATGTATTCTAATGAGAATGGAAGCTGTACCAAGATGAACATAAAGATCCATTCCCCCACGAGGTACCCATTCTAATGCTTACACTGATACAGAAGAACCATTTCCAGTCCCAAATAGCCCATCCAACAAAATGCCAATGCCCTACAGCAAGATGAATTATATATGCTTCAAGTTGACTCCAGATTTGCAAATTATCAAGACAAACTTGGAACATGGTGGATAAGCATTTACCTGCCAACCAATTCCACGGCTAAGTACAGAGGGTGGGAGAGGTGTGGCACTAGCATACCTTGAAACAGCAATGAAAGCACCAGTAGACTACAAAAATAATAGTTCAGGAGTTCATAACTCATTACTTCAGAATCCTCAGATTGAAATGAAGTGCTGAAGTATTATTTGATTTTCCCAAGAGCATGGGGCCATACCTCCACCAGAGCAACAAATGAAGCAGCCATCATTGCAAAAGCTTCACCAGCATCAAAAGTTGGAGCACCCCATTGAAAGGGATAGGGAACTCTTATCCTGTCATTGTAGTTGTACAGAAGATAGGAAGCGGTCATGTTACTTTTACAACGAGAGTGGCACCAATGGAACAGTCATATTTTTCAAAAATATTACCAAGGAGCACCACCAATTATTCCAGAACGGTCAGTTCGGCAATGAAACTGGGTCTTTGGTGGTGCATTCCTGTACGCGCCTCCAACTGTGAGCAGATATGCATAGAGCCACACTATAGGAATAGTGAACAGAACAGCAAAACGGTCGAAGATAGACTTCATCATGTGTATAGCATGAGGCAGGTACTGCAAAAATGAAACAATAAAAAGGAAAAAGGAAAGTTGGAGCACAGCGATGCTAGGTGAAGAAGGTGACAACTACATGATGGAAATAAATGCGTACCATTGCGAAGATCACCAGGAGGATAAGTTCTGGAAGACCAATCTCAACACACTTGGCAACCTGAGCAGTTAGTCTAAGATGAGCAATACAATATTTTAAACAAATATGGAGTCTTGAGTGGAAACACAATACTTTACCGAGGGAAAACCAAGCTCATAAAGTCCAAAGCCGACTAGCATCACCAGTGGAGCAGCTGACAATGGACTCAGATACCTGAAAGAAATCCAGTACATAGTAATGAGACTGAAAACAAGATATTTTTTTCTGCAAGATCATTTCTTGCTTGAGTACCTCTGAAGCAGCTACTTGATTAAGAGAAAAAACAATGCCAATTACCAATGGTTCACCTCAGTACCTTGCAACATTACGCCAAAGGCCACTGAAACCAAATATGATTTGTAGAGCAGAAGCCACGATCAATGCACCTTGTGTTCCACGCATGATTCGGAGGAATTTCTTCACATAAAAATAGGTGATCCATCAGGTCAAGAAACACAAAAACAATATCTGAAAGTAAGTAGCTACTGATTTTTAACATACTGTGTGTGGATTTGGTTCGTTGGCATAACGACCAGCAAGGATGATTGAGATGGTTGGTACAACAAATGTGTATGATCCACCAATCACCGCAGGTAATCTGGTTCCAAAGAAACTCTGCAAAAGGGTGTTAATCCCAGCCACAAACAGCAATGTTTGGATAACAACAGCCTTGTCCTCCTAACACAGTAAGAAATACTGTTAGTCTTGATTGATGGCTCAAGTCAAAAGAAACACAAACAGGTAAATGTGTAATCTCACATTGTTTCCTCCCATCTGCGGAACGAGTGCAGTTGGTATGATAACTGTAGTTCCCAGCATAACCAGATAATGTTGGAAACCAAGAAGAATGGCCTCAGCTGCATTTTAAAAAATTGCATACAACAAAATACTTCAGAACCAAGTTTCTAACTAAAACCATACAAATGTTATAAACAGCATAAGGTGGAAATGTATAACAAACAACTTTTATAGTGGGATAGCAGATAGAGGAAGAAGCCATACTTGGCAACATATAAAAATGCTGTAGTTAACCGTAACGTATGTAGTTTCGAAAAAGAAAAAGTAACGTAATATAAGAAGACAATAAGCCAATTTTGAAGAAAGATCAAAAAATATCAAAACTAACGATTACATCATACAGTGCAGATGAGTTTCATCCTTTAGAACTCTTGCGAGTGTTGTTCGTTCAAGTTCATGCATCATGCCTTGGGAATACAAATTCAAAAAAAAACGTGACAGGGACTTATCTAATAAATACGTGAAATCATGCACAAAGAGATAAAATCTCTGTTAAAAAAACATGAGAACGAATGGAACTCAAAGCGACAACGATTTTTCGATATGGACAGTATCGTCTGGAACTAGTAACTATCAAGAAAGTACATGCGAATTCCACTACATATAACACGCCAACTATGGATAGCAACAATATGTATACTAGTACTTAACAAAAAAAGAGCACGGTGCATGTGAAAACACTGGAGCAAGTCAAAGCAAAATTTAATAGAACTGAAATTACCCAACAAAATTCCATAGTATTACTGGATTCTTGAATATTCCATCCACACAAGTCTCCATCACGCTGACATTGATATAAATCGAGGCAACAGCGAAACATGATCGAGAGAATCGGAATCAGTCTGAAGAATGAGCATCAAACTGGCACCAAAACCCCGGTTCCTACAACGCTTTCCAACAATTCTAGGTCCCATCTGGTGGGTTGATCCGTTCATGGTTGGTACCCGCGACTAGAATCAAACGAGTCAAACCTTTTCAGCATCACTAAATAAACTAATGCGAGGTGTTATTAAATAGCCGGGAGAACAAAACGAAAAGGCAAATCGCTTTTAAGAAAGCGTATCAAGTTCCTAATGAGGAAAGCTCGAGCAGATCTATCCACTCCCTCGCAAAAACAACAACAGCAACAACTCAAGCGCAGCAACGAAGCACCCCCGCGTAGTAGTAAACGCAAGCACGCAAACCACCACCACCGACGCGAGGAAGCAGGAGCCTCGCGAAAACGACGCGAGGAAGCGGAGAACCATCGCTATCGCGATCGACCAACCGGAAACAGAGAGCGAACGATAAACCCCGACAAGAGCGGGGGGGGGAAGCGTGCGGAGAAAAAATTGGGTAGGGAGGGGGTTTGGTTCTCACGCCACGGAGGAGGGCTGGTGATGCAGTAGGAGACGCCGGGGAGCTGGTCCTTGACGGGGTGCGGCGTCAGCTCGTCGTGCTTCGGCGCCGGCGCCGCCCCTCCCCCTCCCCCACCTCCTCCGGCCATCTCGCCCCCCGCGCGGCCACCACCACAGCACAGCACAGGCGCAATGCGAGTCGAGTCGAGACGAGACGAGACGAGAGCGGCGGTGGTAGTAGAGGAGAGTGGAGTGGAGTGGAGAAGTGGTGGCAGAGCAGTACAGCGGCAGTAGTAGCGCGTCTAGTACTACCCGGTGGATCAGAGTAGTAGGGGGGAGGAGAGACGCGAGCCGGGTGCCGTGTGAGGAGGGAGACGGCAGAAGCGGTCAAAAAAGCGCTTGCCGCAGCGGGTGGCAGGAGGGGCGCAGCAGGGAGCGGTTGTTTTGTTCTCTTCTCACCCCCACCACCGCACCACACCACGCATCGTTTTTCTTCTCTCTTTTTTTTCCCCCTTCTCTCTTCGCCTTGTGGGAGGACAGTTCACGCACACCCCGCAGCGCTCCAAAACCGCATTTATGCCCGTGTTGTTTTGCGTGTGTGCGTGTTCGAGCCGTGCGAATCTCCCCAGTCTCATCTCTCTCTCTCTCTCTCAGCGCGTCAAATTTTGCGGGTAAAGGGAAGGTTGGGATAATTCACATTTGATTCAGGGGGGTTGTGGTGTGGATTTGATTCGCCTGAGCTTTTTGGTACGGTGCCGTTTTGCGCAGCATGGTTTGCTGTGCATTTGTGGGTTTTGAGTTTGGGCAGTAGGGAAAGGACGAGTTGGTCATGGATTGTGCGTGAAGAAAAAGATTTCTTATTGCAGATCACTCCTACGAGTACGATGGCGTAGCACAGTGGTTCTCACAGTGAAGAGATGAGTGGGACTCTCGTCTCTCTTTAGCAGTACTCTCTCCGTACCTAAAGAAGTGAGTAAAAAAAAGCCAAACCCTAGTTTTCTGTATCCAACTTTAAAATTTTTTTATAATTTGTATTTTCATTGTTGTTAGATGATAAAACATGATTAATATTTTATGCGTGACTTGTCTTTTTAATTTTTTTATAATTTTTTCAAATAAAACGGATGGTCAACGTTGGACACGGAAACCAGGGTTTGTTTTTTTTTTTTAACGGAGGTAGTACCTTCTTTTCCGTTGGGACAGGAGGGGAGACTAAGAGGCATGTTTCGGAAGTTTTAGCTGGTACAGCTTATCTCAGGATCGAAAGCATTCTTAAACAGTTTAATTTTTTTACATTCTGAAAAGCTATAATTATAAAATCAGAAAACAAATCACAAGCCAAAAACTAAGAAACGAAGCTTTTTCAGATTCTCGGAGCGGCTACTAATCAGTTGCTTAAGCTTCTTCAATCAGGCTATAGGAGAGAAATGTGGCTACTCCATGTGAGTAGTACTAGCATTAGTATTATTGTGAGTGAATTATTGTGGCATAGTAGTATGGGGCATTGGGGTAGGGCAGAGGAGCGAGAATGGAAAATGGATGAGTATACTCTTTTTTTTTTTCGCGCTTTCCCGTGTCTCGTTCCAAGGGAAGAGAGGTGAAAAGAGGAGGCAAGTATGCTTTCGACCTGTACGCAAAGTTGCGTCGCCGTACTATTCCCTATCATTGTGTTACTTGGTTGTTTTCTCTCACCGCTACAGTGCTTTGCTTTTTTTCGCCGGGACTTGGTTATTTCGCCATTTTTCGGTGAGAATGATTAGTCACGGGTTCACAGAACATACAGATCGTACGTGAAATTCGCAATGGTGAATCACAGGAATGAAAAAACGGAGGAATAGAAAAAACATAGGATTCTGATAGTAATGTAAGTGTAAAACAGAGTATTGCAAAACACAGGAAAAACGTAGGAATGATCGTTTGATTGGACCACAGAAAAAACATAGGAATTTAATGAGAGATAAAGACTCAAAGGATCTACCTCTCGTTAAAATTCCTCCAAAACTTATATAGGAAGAGACATTCCATAGGAATTTCATAGGATTACATAGGGTTTATTCCTTTGATTCAAAAGGCTTTGTAGGAAAAATTCCTATAGAAATGAAATCCTTTAAAATTCTTATGAATTTTATTTGAATCAAAGAGGGCATCATTCTTGTACTCTTGGCTTCTTGGGCTCTTGGCCGCCGGAGTAGTCGTCGCCTACCATAAGCATTAAGCAAAAGTGTAGTTTTGGTAGGGGGCACCTGACCGTGCGTGATCAAGGGATCCAACTAACTCCAATAAATTTATTATCAGATCAGATGGCATTCTAGAACTAGAAGCACTCATGTTTAAGTACCACACGGCCGCATTAAATTAGAAAGATTGGATTGCATGGAGATCTCGACCATGCGAGAATTCGTGTGAAGCCTGGGGATTTGTTTGTTTGAGACGACCAATGAGGCAGCTGGCTGGCAAATTGGCATGTGGAGCTCTCGCCCTCGAACGAGTACAAGAGAAGCGAGCGAGAGCAGATGCTGCAGCAAACATGAAAGTGAATGGGACTTGGAGAAATAAATGCACATATTAATGGCTCTCACGCTATACTTTCCACATTTATGATTATGAGTTGACTAATTTTACCCTGCATGGAAAACCACCGTGCGGGTAGGAGTAAAAACACATCGAGCCAATTTAATGCACTACTCCGTACTAGTACTGCGCCGGTACGTGCAGACAAAACGTCCAGTGTAACATTTGTTCCAAAGAAAACACCAGTACTAGTGGATGCAGTACCTATGCCGTGTGGTGCTGGGCTAATGATAGGACGAGCTGGGCTTTCCAGCTGGCCAGGCCCGATCTGCTAGTCAACAGCAACATGTGATAAAGCCTGATATTCCCTTATCGATCTACTGAGGCCCTGTTTAGATGGGACTTAAAACTTTTAAGTCCCTATCACATCGGATGTTTGAAGATTAATTATAAATATTAAACGTAGACTATTAATAAAACCCATCCATAATCTTGGACTAATTTGCGAGACGAATATAATGAGCCTAATTAATCCATGATTAGCCTATGTGATGCTACAGTAAACATTCTCTAATTATAGATTAATTAGGCTTAAAAAATTTGTCTCGTGAATTAGCTTTTATTTATGTAATTAGTTTTCTAAGTAGTCTATATTTAATACTCTAAATTAGTGTCTAAAGACAGGGACTAAAGTTAAGTCCCTGGATCTAAACACCACCTGAGGCCCCGTTTAGATCGCGAAAAGAAAAAAAAATTATCACATCAAATGACCGGATATCAAAATAAATTTCTGGACACAAATGAAAAAATTAATTTCATAACTCGTCTGAAAACCGCAAGACTAATCTTTTAAGCCTAATTAAACCGTCATTAACACATGTGGATTACTGTAACACTTATGATTAATCATGAACTAATTATACTAAAAAGATTCGTCTTGTAATTTCTATGCAAACTGTGCAATTAATTTTCGTTTTTATCTATATTTAATGCTTTGTGTCTAGAGATTCGATGTGATGTTTTTGGAGAAAAAAATTTAGGAACTAAACCAGGCCTCATACTCTGTTCAGAAAAGGCTAGCAATACTCATGTGCTGTATAAATCAATTAATGTCAGAAAAAAAACTCGTTCTTACAACAATGTTTGAGCAAAACAAATCAGGTATAATAACAACGTTTCCACAGTATGACAGCGAAGATCCATTCCCATGCAAGTGTGACTCCAGAATATCCAGCATAAGAATGAGAGCCTATTTTTGCCATGGTAAACACATTCTTCAGTCACACCAAGGAATTATGTGAGAACATGTATAGAATATATACGCCAGTGGACTGGTATCAACAATTCTCTATGCATTATATCACAAATCAGACTGAACGCGACAACAGATGAGCAACTTCTTAACCTGAACAAAAAAATTAAAGATACAGCATAGTACAGGATTGGACAATTTAAGTTTCAGTTCCTGTGGTCTAGAAAATGCCTCCATTCTCCCTATATTAATTCTGCAGTCAGAAATAAAAAGGTTACCCCGATTACCCATGAAGTATAAGTTTCCCCAAGAAGTATAAGAAAAAAAAACTGGAGTTACAAATCTCACACAAAATACATAAGTTCAATGAAGCATTTTCCATTGTAGCTCCCCATCTTTCCTTTGTTATCTATAACTCACCTTCTTTCAATGCCATCAATCAAATTTTACTTTCTAAGTTTGCCTCAATCAAAGCCCTCTTACAACCAGCAGCTGAATTAACATCAGCATGACAATTTATTCGAAGGGCACATCTATAACAGGATACAGATTTAGCTAGCTGATGAGATATCTATAACAGGATACAGATTTAGCTAGCTGATGAGATAGTTTATGGCATGGATTTTGCAGAAACAAATTTTAGAAAAATCTATTGATGATTCAGCCCTTAAAGTAGAGTACAAAGGGGGAGTTCAGGTGAAAAGCAGCCGAATAAGTTAGAATTGGCCAGGTACACGCACATGTAGCCTTTTCCTTTCAAAGTCAAGCTGCAAGACACACCCCAAAAAGAAAAGATGAGATACATAATGATTAGCCATTTTACTACTCCCTCCGTCCCAAAATATAACAACTTTTAGACCTTAGGATTTGTCCCAAAATATAACAACTTCACCAACATGCTCTTCCCAACCAATCACAACCCTCCACTATTCACTTTTCCCACCTACCTCCACTACTCATCCAATCACAACCCTCCACCACTCACTTCTACCTACTTTCTTAATAACCGTGTCTAACTCTAAAACTTCTTATTATATTCTGGGACAGAGGCAGTAGTTTATATTATTAGTACAAATATGGTTCACAAGCATCGATGCATTACCACTTTCTTAACCCGTTCATTTGCAGCAGATGTTCCTCCACTGACATTTTCAGGCAGGTATGGATTGCATACACGAACCTCCTTCATTACAACAATGTCAGTCTTGTCCCACTGAACTGGAAGCCTGAGAAGAATATAACTTGTTATATGCATACAAATTTACGTTTAAAACAAACAGTGTTTCATTACATTTTCACATATATACCAAAAAGTTGTGCTAATAATGCAACATGCGAGGACAACAGGTGGAAAACTGGCAAAACATATAACATAGTTCCATGATGTAGAGAAGCTTTACAAGATTTGTCAAAAGCAATTTGTTGCGAACAAATTAGAGTAAGCCACATTGACAGAAAACAATTTGACACTAACAGAATAAAATCAAACAAAAAGAAAGAAAATTTATTGCTGTGAAAAACATGAAGCCAGCGTCTGCTTGCCTTAAGTACAGAAAATATCACTGTGTTGTATTCTTTAACTAAAAGCAGGAGCAAATTGTACAATGGCACAACCAAGATCTGACAAATCGGAAAATAATAAACAGAACTGACATGTCAAACTCACATGGGTTTTATTTTCTCCAAAACAAACAGAAAATAAATTTCGAAATGCTGACAATAATCACCTAACAGAACCCAGTCAAAACAAAGTATCAATTCGTGAAGAGACCATTCTACCACACCTGGAAGCAGCTTCAAATTAAAATAAGATTAATTCTCAAAAGAACCCATGCAAAAAAGGCACAGGCATGAATAGCATTTAATGTAAGGACATTCCTCCAGCTTTTAGAGCAGCAAATAAGCAAAAGACTAAAGGCGTGAGGCGTATTCATAGTATGCGGAAATCACATGCTTGTCCTTGTGAAATACAGAGTTGTCAATGAAACAAGGTTGAGTTAAAAATATACTTTTGGAGTATGTATCCAATAGGAACACTATGAGTATATGATAGTAGCATGTGCGGAGATGTGAATCTCTCAGAACAAGATATGAAAGGTTACTCACGTCTTGGACAATGCATCAAATATGCTTTGAGCTTCTGGGGTGACACCAACACCAATTCTCTCGGCTTCAATCTCAGCTTGTCTGCACATGAGCCAGAACATGAAAGTGTGTGAGCTAATTCTCAGCTTGTTAGTAAGGACAAGCTTGATGCAAAATGTAGAGTATAAGATATTTGAAACCATTAAACACCACATAGGTGAATAGGGACAGGACTGAGAAATCTATGACAAAATGAAAAGTTATAACCAGCCATATGCTAACACTTAACAACCAAACCAGTGTCACAGAGATACAGACCAAACAAAATAAACCAATGTCATGATATATATTGGCTATGCCACATACATCATTAGTCAATAACATCAGCTGTCGAGCAATTTTCACTATAACTACACTAACCAGCCAACAAACTATAATATCCCCATGTACTGTGCTTCCATCAAAACATAAATACCCCCAAAATAGTAACTTAACATTCAGTGTCGATGCAAAAATCACCTATTATAAGTAAACAGCAGAAGATCTCGAAATTATCTTTTTAGTAGATAAAGCAAACATTTTTCTGAGTTCACTAGCCAAATACCAAGTGCAAAAAATATTTAAAATATATCATAAATTTTAAACTTGAAAAAGGTATACTTAATTCCTATAAAAAATCATATTTAATCCCTAACAATTCATAAAAGCGTAGAAGCAAAAGAAAACATTTAGATTACAGTTTATGCTTGAAGAAACCAAACCATGACAAGCCAGTTTTGAAACCTGGTTTCTAAAATAAGTTAATAGCATGAGCTCAGAGCTGATACATAAGCAATTTAACAGGTTGGCTGTTGCAATATTGCATGTCTGTAATTCTACAGGGTGCACTACAGTCTTGAAGAAGCGAAAGTACACACTGTCAAACCAAGTTTTACAGTCTTCAATGCTCTCTTGAAATCCATAATAGCCCTAATAGCCCATATCCCGGAATTTTAAATTGCATTGCACACATGTCTTTCGCTTCATTGTCCAATGACCAGAGTAGCTACAGTTCTTGATGGAAAGCCAGAAGGCAACAAACTATAAATCTCCAACTCAAATACAAAATCTAAGCTATTATAATCTGTGAACCAAGACAGGTTTTCTTTTGGGGGGTGGGGAGGGGGCTGCTTGTTGACAGATTCAATTTCGACTCTTAATATTTTGATGAACGACCAAGAACTTCATAACAGTTTAAACAGTGTGATTCTGTTCTAGATAGCATGGCCTTTCTTCTATCTCCCCTCCTGTTTTCAAGCACCTATGTGTCCTTGTTCACTTGCTATCACTTATTCTGACTGGATATCCACATAACACGGAGTATATCACTTTTACCAACTAGAAAGGTCAGGTCCACTGTTGCGACAGCTATGACATAAGTCGCTCGATGATTATCACAGGAAAAAAAACTGAATTTCACATTTGCAGTAATTAGTATCTGGAAAAATATGCCATGTAACACATGTCATCAAGAATTGTATGATCAATCTAATTACTCCAGCTTCAGCCTGAGAAACACATCTGATAGGGAGCACACAGTGGTAGAACAGGGTCGAGATGGGAGTGTGACGCACCTGAGAGCGGCCTCCTCCCGGGCGTGGATGGCGGCGAGGTCGAGCACGCAGCCGGCCGGGTCGAGCGGGTCGTCGGCCTTGCCTACAACGGAGAACTCCCGGATGTAGTTCGCCTTGAGCACCCGCACGTTCCTCCGCTCACCTCTCTCTGCCCTCCCCACGCCTTCCTGTGATCTACCCCGTCATGGAAACAAAAACAACCGCAAAAAGCACGAACAACACGGGGAGCGAAAGTGGCAGAGCACTGAGATGGGGGGGGGGGGGGGGGAGAACCGGATGGGGAGGGATTTGGAAAGGATATGAATGACGAGGAGGTTGGTCGGGCGGTCGAAGGAGACGATCTGGCCTTCGAACTCCTCGCCGAGGGTGGTCTTCACGGAGATCAGCACCCCGATCGCGAACTCCTCGCCGCCACCCTCCATGTCGCCGCCGCCGCCCGCCGGTGGGTAGATGGGAGAGGCGGAGGGGAGGTGGGTTGTGAGATTTTGGGGGTTCAGCGAAGAACTCGGCCTTGCTGGCGAAAAAAATCTGCACCGCAGTCACTCACAACTCGGCCCGCTTGTTTTTCCTTCTCTCTTCTTTTCTCTTTTCTTTTTTTTTTTCCTTTCCCCGCCTCTTCCTGCTTTGGAGTATTTGGTCCCTTTGAGCTTTGCATTTGAGCGAGACATGACGCAAAATTTCGCCATAGGTTCATAAGCCAAAACGGCTCAAAAGTCAATCCTTAAAAATAAAATATGTATATCTTTAGCGATTTAAAAGTCTATCCTTTAAAAAGACTCCCATCGGATGTCCTAATAAGTTAAAGAAAAAGCTAAATTTTAAATTTTCAAACTTAATTTTGAGATTGATTTTGAGATATTTTCAACGTAGTTTCTTTTTCAGCATTGACTTAACTCACTCTATAACACCTCACTAGATAAACTAAGTGCACAAGGGTGTGAGAGCTCTTGCAAGGGTTCAAGATAATGCAATGGAGTGCCAAAACCTTACTCTTGCTGCTGGGGAGTGGGTATATATACCCCCAACCACCAAAACTAGCCGTTGGAACCGAAATCCCCAACTTTGTGCTCTACCGGTGAGACCGCCGTTGTGAGGCCGGTCAGACCGGACAACTTTGTAACGGCTAGAAAACTAGCCGTTACAGGGCAATCATTGAGCCCACTCAACCTGGCCGGTCTGACCGCAGTGTAGTGGCCGGTCAGACCGTCCACGGCTCGGTCAGACCGCCGTCTGCTCGGTCTGACCGGTTGCGGCTCTGGCGGCTCTGTATCGCCACCAAAAACCAGACCAGTGCAACAGACCAATGGGGCCGGTCAGACCGGCCTTGCCACGCCGGTCAGACCGGCTAACAGACCCGGTCAGACTGGCCTAAGGCCCACGGTCAGACCGCATGTCACTTTTCAGCTCAACCTACCGTTAGTAAAACGGCGATATCTCTTGACTCGGGTCTCGGAATTTGGCGTTCTTGGACTCTATGGAAAGCTTATTCAAAGGGCCATCCAACCCATGAAAAATCCATCCAAGAAACACAACTTAAGTCAAGGATAAAGGGCTCACACTCCAAAGGATATCCACCGGACATACCCACAAGATGTCACTCACTCCTATTGGACATGCCCACTTCTCTCTTGGTTTAGGACTTGAGAAAACTCATCACACTTGGTTAGACAAGCCCACAAAATGCACCTGCATGCATATGAACTAATATGGCACAAGATCATCCACAAGCTCGCTTCATAGACCCCTCTTGATAGTACAGCGCCTATCTAGTAAATCCGGACTACACCAAACACCAAGACCGGGAAAAGACTAAGAAAACATTCTTAGCTACATTATACCTTTGCCTTGCGCCATCCATCTTGGGGTCAAGCTTGAGCCGAGATCAACACTTGTGACCATCCGGTTGAACCATGTTTATGCCGAGGTCTTGTCTATCCTTTGTCAATACTTTATTCTCATCACAAGTTTGACTTCATTCTTGCCAACATGACGATGTCCTTGGCTTGGTGACCACTAACCCATGGTGTCATTCATTAGCCTCATCGTAGTGGGACCTATTCCTTTTCACACCTCAAAGGAGAATATTAGTCTCAACAAATCGGTTGTCATCCTTCACTTGATGACCAACCGGTTGCATATGAAAGATATGGATATGTTTGTTGAGTATTCATTAACATCACAAGTGTCATATACTCGTATGCAATCTCAAGTGCAAAGATCCGATATAAATAATAGGTGAACAACATGGATCTAGAACATGCACAATAAATGTATAGGATTTGCTCCCCCTAAATATATGCATACAAATAAATATACAAGAGATGCAAGTGTATGCATAATTAGAGAATGACCAATGGGGGTTTATCCTATACATATAGAGAAGGCATATGTAGTAATGATGTAGAGCAACATAAAACATATACCTTCATGATCTCCATGTTCTCAATGTAAATGAGACTAAATAAGATAACATTCGAGTAAACATTAGTCTCACACTTATATATCAATAACATGGAAATCATATATATGAACCTATCAAAAAGTAGGAGATAAAAAGTGGTACATATCGTTTTATCTCCATGCATTTCATCCTTGTCATGATTAAGGTCCATCACAAAAGAATGCATGTCTTCCACATCTCATTATCGGAAATAACCTAGTAGACAACTTATGCAAAAGAGAGGTTAATCCCATAAACATCGGTTTATCATCTATCACCAAAGTAACAATTACACAAATTGTTTAATCCAAGATCTTTCAATCTTTTCTCTCTTTGGTGATGGATAATAACCCGATATAAACAATATAGAGAGAGGAGATGAAAAATGATTTCAAATCAAGATAGAAATCTTATAATAAACAAAATATAGAATAAGCTCCCCCTCAAGATGTGCATACATATGGATATGAAGGAACGCATATGCACATAATCAACAAAGATTAAATAGGAAGCTCACACTATATTTTGGATCCACAAGAGAGGCCAAGTTAGAATATGTGAAGTTTAATACATACCTCTCATCATTTTTACTTCCATATCCAAATAAGACTAGTCAAAGAAAGGCTCATAAAAACGTTAGTCTCATATAATTAGATTTGTTATTAATCACCGAAACCAAATTAAGACACTTGAACTTACAATGTGACATGGTAAGAAAACAAGACGCGAGCCAGCGACCTTCCTCCGGCAACATGACGGTGATAGCCTACCTCTAGTGAGCCCCCTCCTTCTCTCTCCGGCAAGTTTCCTCCAATAGAGAAAATAAAACTTAGGTTAGCAGCCTTCCTTCAGCGGCCCCCTTTCTCCTCCTTTCAGCGAGCTTCCTCTGACGAGCCTCCTCACCATGTTGACGCTTGGCCTCACTGGTACTAAAGGTGTCACCCTACTCATCATTGCCATCGGCTTCTTCAAACTATCAAAGATGGTTGGATAAGGCAATGTTGGCACACATGTATCTCCCCCTTCCTCTCTATCGCCAGCACAATGTTGAAGGTCAAGCTCAAGTTGAGATCTGGGGCGGGCGATGTCTCGCTAGGAGCATCGATAGGTGACTCCTATGGGTGCCACATACCTTTCCAAATACGATGCTGACGTCCTCTTCTGTACCTTCATGTGGTATGTGGGCTTTCGGGGTGAAAACTTAGTTTCAAATGGTCGAAATAGCGACAAAGACACTTTAAATGTTGTGGCCTTCCTGGATGTGCCGCATTGGAGGTTACATGTGGTATGGCTTCCTTGGTGGATGCATTTCCCGTCGAATCAGTTTCGATGAATATACCTGTGACAAGATCCGAGTGAGTGACTACAACTAAGTTATTCTCCGATACTATACTTTGCTTTGGTTCAATGTCAGTTGCTGGCAGTGGTGTGTGTGTTTTTTTTACGGGGAGTGGTGTATGTGATTTGATCAACATAATAATCGGACGTTGATTATAGATATTTGGACGTTGATTATAGATATTTTGTTTTCGGTTTGAGTAAGACATGGTCTACGTACAACCTGTAAATCATTGGGAATAAATAATAGTTATGCAGATATCCAATCGACTATAGCTAAAAAATAAATCTCTACATTTGAGGTGGTATTTTACGTAGTTTTCTTTAATCATTCTATGATTTTGTTCTTTTAGAGGGGTTGGGGACTTCTCCCGTTCATATGTAAAATAGAGTGACGGATTAACATACGATTAATTAAGTACTAGATAAAAACTTATATATATATAGTTGGAAAAAACACATTGTTTAGTAGTTCGGGATGTGTAGGAGTGGAAGTTGGAAACCTTGAGTTAATAACACAACCTAAGAATAGTCTACTTCCTCCGTCCTATAGAAAGACTAACCTAAAATGTGATTGTGGCGTTCCTAGTATAATAGAGAAAATGTCGCATTCTATTTTAGGTTGTTTTTTAGGGACGAAGGGGATATACCCTAATGAAGGACAACAGATCCATCAAGTTCTTTTTAACAAAAAAAATGAATTTACTACAAGCGGACCCTACTTTAAATTATCAAAAATTGTTCTGAAGTTTATAAAGCGATGGAGATGGTTATGTCCCATGACGGTATGGCAGTGTGCGACCAGACACTCTGCCGCAAAAGCCCGTCTCCGCCGCTGACAGCCATCTGCAGATCCGCTAACCGCAAAACACGGGAAACCAGTTTGCAGCCCACAAGGCCCATCTCAGTACGGGCTCCACTCCCTAACCAAAAAGAGAGAGAAAAATAAAAAAGAACAACACGTGAGAGAAGTCCACTTCACAGCCCCGCGGCGCATGTGGGCCGAGAGAGAAAAGCACGGGCCCACCTTCCAGTGAAAAGCAACCCGTGGCAACTCGGTGGCCGTTGCCAACTTCCCCCGCCCCCGCCGTCCACGGCGTGTCGCGCCCCCGGCATCACGCGTCGCAGCCCGAGCACAGCGACCGCTCACGTCACTACCAAGTGGGGCCCACCTACGCCTGGGCCCGCAACGTCAGTGACACGTGAGCGAGAGGAGCGGAGAGGGCACCGCGTACCGAGCCAGCCACTTGTCAAATCCGTCCACCCGCATCCACATCAGCGTGCGAGGAAATCACTACAGACACCACCACTTGCCCACCCGCAAGTCAACAGGACCCCACCTGTCGGTGACCTGTACGGGTGGGAGCCGGCCGCACGCCGCGACTGACAGGTGGGGCCACGGAGCGGCGGTCCGCACAGAGAGCGTCTCCCGTGCGGGCGAGGTGGGCCGCGGGCGAAATGACGGAAATGCCCCCGCTTTCCTCTCCCGAGGACGCCCCCCGCATCGCGCATTCCCCTTCATCCCAATCTCGCTCGCCGTCGTCTCTCTCTGCCGTGCTCCATATAACCATCTCTCTCCTCCCAAATCCGCCTCTCTCTCTTCCCGAATCGCGATTTTTTTCTCCATTTCTCCACCACCCCACCACAGATCGAGACCAAACCCCACGCCGGGTCTCCTCCTCTGACCCAATCCCCGAATCCCCAAATTTGCAGTTGAACCACCAAACTGGTGGAGTCGATTCGGGCGAATTCGAGCTCCGATCTGCGGTTGCGGGAGAGGCGTTTCGTCCATACCGGCGCGGGCGAGGCGAATTCGGGCGATCCGAGGCGTATGGAGGAAGGCCCCGCGGATCCGCTGCTCGGGAGCTAGGGTTAAGAGGCGGCGGCTGCATCGGCGGGGGGCGGGCGCGATCTGGTGATGGTGCGGCGCGGCGCCGGGGGACGGCGAGGAGGGATCGGCGGCGGGGATGATGCAAGGCTATGCATGGGTGGCGCGAAGGCGGCGGTGAGGGTTGCGGCAAGAGTCGGCGTCTCGTTCGGCACATGTGGCCAGTAACTCGCGTAGAGGCAGCAGCTCCACCACCGGCACAGGGACAAGCTTCTCCTCCTCCCCGCTCCTCTGTTCCTCCGCCCCTGACGACCTCGTATCCACCTGCGCCGACGACTCCCCCAGCAGCAGCGCACAAGAAGGAGCGTGTTGATTCTCCCCGTCCAGCTTCATCAGATTCCTTCTTAAAGGTGCCTCCTCTGATGGGATTCGCTTTGATGTTTACAAAGCTTGATGAGATTTATATGAAATTGAGCATGTTGCTGTGACCAAATCGCCTTTGTTTTTAAGCCTAGATAAACTTATGTTTGTAGTTACTTATATCGTTGATGGTAACCTGTGGCATATCAGCAAATTTTCACCGAGTAAATATGGGATGCATTTGATGGATGTATTGGGTGGGTCGTGCTATCATCAAAGTAGTTTAAGATGGTTTTCCATGTATTATTTGATTGAGTCTTTTGGACAGTTCAATTTGACAATTTTTGGCACCCCTACATAAGATTTGTGTGAAGGCGTGTTCTTGCTTGTGTGCATCTCAAAAGCCATTCGAACAATTCATTTGTCTATTTTTTAGGAGTAGCATTTCTTGGATAATCACTGGGCATGATATATCCAAAGAATATATGGCTAAGGGGTGCATGTGGCATTATTTTTGGATCCGTGTGCAGCCCATGATGTAACTTACGGTTTATTACCATCTATCTCTACATCTTCTAATACTTGTTTCATTAATGTATTGTATAAAAACAAGATAATAATAATAATAATAATTATTCTTTTCAAAGTTAGAAATAAGATAAAAACAACCGGAATATCACAATTAAGCCTGGGTGCAAGTATTGGCGTAGACAGCTCGCATTGAATTATGTAACCATCAACTTTACATGATCTTTACTTTCAGATCGAACAAATTCAATGGCATGGCAACTATTGCTATTTCTGTTGCAATTTGATTTTTAGTGTGTATTGTATGTTTCAACAACACCATGATACCATTTTCTTCTTTCTTCTTTCTTTATACAAGTATGCTTATATTTCTTCTATGCCAACATGCATTTTTCAGTGTTTTCATATGCCCAATGTTATTTTGGTGGATACATGAATTGTGTTTTGTCCCTTGTACACATGATAATTTTTTTATTGAATATCCAGGACGGGCGTGAATTCCGTGTTGGCGACTGCGCTCTTTTTCAGGCTGTTGAAGTTCCCCCTTTCATTGGGTTGATACGTTGGATTGAGAAAAAGGAGGAAGGCTTTCCCAAGTTACGTGTAAGTTGGCTGTATAGACCAGCTGACATCAAGCTTAACAAGGGAACACAGCTGTGCGCCGCACCAAACGAGATCTTCTATTCTTTCCACCAGGACGAGACATCCGCTGTCTCACTGCTGCATCCTTGCAAAGTTGCTTTTTTGCGTAAAGGCGTTGAGCTTCCAGCTGGAATTTCTTCATTTGTGTGTCGGCGCGTGTATGATATTGACAACAAGTGTTTATGGTGGCTTACCGACCAGGATTATATAAATGTAAGTTCTACAGTTACCTTCCTTTATTAGAATCGTTTTCTGTGCTAAGGTGTTCAACTCATGACCAGGAGCGGCAGGAAGAAGTAAATCGGCTTCTACACAGAACAAAGCTAGAAATGCATGCAGCAGTTCAGTCAGGTGGGCGCTCACCAAAGCGGCTCAATGGACCGTCGTCTGCCCAGCAAAAGTCTGGTTCTGATGGTGCCCAAAACTGCGGTCTTTCCAAAGGGAAGAAGAGGGACAGGGGTGAGCAAGGAACTGATCCAGCTAAGCGAGACCGTGAGCGTCCCCTAAAGGCTGAGGATGGCGAATCAGGCAACTTTAAGGTGGAGAATCTAAAGTCTGAAATTACAAAGATAACAGAAAAAGGTGGACTTCCACATGCTGAAGCTGTAGAGAAGCTGGTACATCTCATGCAACTTGATCGAACTGAGCGAAAGATAGATTTGCCTGGCCGGGTAATTCTAGCTGATATTATTGCAGCTACAGAAAGTCCTGACTGCCTTGGTAGGTTTGTGCAACTGCGAGGCCTTCCTGTGTTTGATGATTGGCTTCAAGAAGCTCATAAAGGGAAGTCTGGTGAAGCTGGTAGTCCTAAAGAAACTGATAAGCCTATGGAAGATCTTGTCCTGGCCCTGCTTCGTGCACTGGCGAAATTGCCTATTAATCTTACTGCTTTACAAAGTTGCAGTATTGGGAAGTCTGTTAATCATCTGCGAAGCCATAAAAATCCGGAGATACAGAAGAAGGCAAAGTGTCTTGTCGAAAATTGGAAGAAGCGCGTTGATGCTGAAATGAAGTCAAATGATGTGAAACCAGTGGTATCAGGTCAGGCTGTATCCTGGCCAGGCAAACCTGGGTTTCCAGAAATTTCTAGTGCTGGAAACAGACGAAGTGGCTCAAGTGAGTCTAGTCTGAAAAGCCCAGTGTCTCAGCTTTCTTCATCGAAGGCCTTGACTTCTAAACCTGTAGCCGCCGATGCTGCTGCGAAATCGAGTCCAGTGATATCTGGTTCTTCAAAATTGCAACATATGCAACCAGGAAATGCTGTAACCAACTTGAAGGAGCAACCCTCCAAATCAACTGGTGGCACTTGTGGCTCTGAGCTGCCTGCAGTGAAAGAGGAGAAAAGCAGCAGTTCAAGCCAGTCTCTGAACAACAGCCAGTCATGTTCTAGTGAACATGCAAAAACAATCGGTTCTTCGAAGGAGGATGCCCGAAGCTCAACTGCAGCTTCTGGTGTTGCCTATAAAACTTCCGGTAGTTCTTCTCGTGTGCATCGAAGAACAAACAATGGGCTTCTTGGTTCAGGGATCCAGAAAGAAGCTGCCGTGGCAAGATCGTCTTCACTTGATCACTCTTCAGTGCAGGAAAAAGTGTCACAATCTGGCACAGCATGTGAGAAAGGAGCTGACATACAATCAGATCAGGGTAACAGCCATAGATTGATTGTCCGGTTCCCAAATCCTGGTCGAAGCCCTGCTAGGAGCGCAAGTGGCGGTTCTTTTGAGGACCCATCATTTACTGGGAGTAGAGCTTCATCTCCTGTGGCAGACAAACATGAACAAAGTGACCGTAGAGTGAAAATGAAGACTGAAAATTCCAATCCTCATTTAGGCAATGATACAAATGCTGAGTCTTGGCACAGCAATGATGTTAAAGGAGCTTCAGTTTCTGAGGAAGGCGATAAATCACCTCGTGCTATGTTGACTGATGACAGCAAGACAACTGAAGGAGCTGGCAGAGATGTACCTGTTTCACGAGTTGCTTGTTCATCATATGCAAATGAAAAGGGAATCTGTTCAAGTGAGACTGGGCTGACTAAATTGTTCAACCCTATGAATGCTTTGATTGAAATCAAGTACTCTGAAGCTAGTCATTCCTTGCAAGCTGGGGATGATACAGCAATGAATCTTCTTGCCAGTGTCGCTGGAGAAATATCTAAATCTGAGTTGATTTCCTCATCTCCTTCGCCTAGAAATTCATCAGCAAATGAACAGGGCTGTGAAGGAGACAACATTGGGAAGCTAAAAGTGGAATGTGATGTGAGCTTGCCACAGCATGCAGGGCCATCAAATGAAGTTGAGAAAGTCATCTCTGAGAAGAGTGAAAAAAGTGGTGTAGGTTTGGTTGGAAAGGAGCTGCACCGGGAGGATGTTAATATGCTGTCTGTAAACAACTTGTTGTCACAGGGTGACAAGGGCACAACATCTGCTGGATCGTCCCCTCTACCAGAAATAGATTCTAAAGCGAAGACTGAAAATCGTGAAGTAGAGGACACCGATAAATGTTCACATCCACCTTCACGTGGTGATGATGGTGTAAAGTCAAATGCCAAACAACCTATTGGTTTCAAGATTGATACAAACTCAAATATAAAATCATCTACTACGAGTGAATATAGGTCTGCATTTACTGTTCGAGGTAAAGTTGAAGATGGTTGTACAACCAGTTCTGATGTGGGCTCCACATTAGGTGATCAATGTAAGCTGGCTGTTTCAAATAGAAAAATGCTCCCTGCCGAGGAACCATTATGTGGTGGTGACAAACAAGCTCATGGTTTGTTAAAGCCAACAGATCAAAAGCATCTTCTGGGTCTACCATATTATTCAGAACACATTGATAAATCTGGTGACAGTACTGCAAATAAATTGAAATTGAAGCCTTCATTTTCATCATCGACTGTGGAGGTGAATAAGGCTGATGGTTTGCTGGTTGGTAGTAACACGGTGCTGAAAGAGGATGAAAAGAAGGAACATCCAGCTGATGTTACAAAACTTGCTGTAGCAACTGGAGTCAAACATGGTCCAGAAAATGGGATTAGTTCTAAAGAATCAAAAGACAATTCCAGTGAATCAAGCAGTCACACAAGACCTGGAGGCACTGTCTCACAGGAAACTGAACATAGTGCACAACGCAGCTCAAAGAAATCTAGCGATGATGCAGGTGGGAAAGACGACCTTGTCTCATCTGATGATGGTTCTTCATTCTCTGCCAAGACCAGGTCAAATGCCACTGCCAAGCTTGACTTTGATTTGAATGAAGGAATACCTGGAGACGAGGGGCATCTGTCTGAGCCAGCTACCTCTCCTGCTGTGTGTTCTTCAGCGATTCATTTACCTCGTCCTTCTCCGTTTGTATCACCTATTTCAAGTGGGCTGCCTGCTCCAATAGCTGCTCCAGCTAAAGGCCCCTTTGTTCCTCCTGAGAACCTAATAAGGTTGAAGTCTGAGACTGGCTGGAAAGGTTCAGCAGCCACAAGCGCATTTCGCCCAGCGGAGCCAAGGAAAATTTTTGAGATGACTCTCAGTGCATCTGGCATTCTGGTTTCTGATGCTGCAGGGAAAAACCGCCCAGCACTTGACATTGACTTAAATGTTGCAGATGAGCAATTTCTTGAGGAAGACGTCTCTCAGAGTTCTGTTCAGACAACTGGTTCTGAATCTGGCAACACTAGAAGAAGCAATGGTCCTGTACGTAGTGTTGGCTTTGAGCTTGACTTGAATAGGGCCGATGAAGTTGCAGAGAATGGGCAAATTGTGTCTAACACTAACCACAGGGTTGAAGTCCCATTATTATCAAGACCATTACCTGGAGTTTTCTCTAGTTCCGATGCAAATAGCTCAAGGGATTTTGATCTTAATAATGGACCAACTCTTGATGAAGCTGGTACGGAACATGCACCAAGGAGTCTGTCATCTAAAAATACCAGTAGCATACCATTCCTACCTCAAGTCGCTAGCATGAGAATGAACAGTGCTGAAATGAGTAACATATCACCATGGTTTGCTTCTGCCAATGCTTGTGCTCCTGTAGCTATAAAGTCGTTTTTACCTTCTAGAGGAGAACAGCCTCACCCAGTCGAGACAGCAGCTGGAAGTGGAACCCAGAGGATCATCACATCGATGGCAGATGGTGTCCAACATGGAAGTGATCCCAGCCGGACTCCAGTTATTTCAACTTCACCGACTATGATGTTTCACCCTCCTGCTTATCAGTATGCAGGATTCCCTTTTACTCCTAGTGTCCACCTTCAAGCACCGGGGTTTTCAATTGGGTCTACATCATATGCGAATTCTGCACCTGGAGGAATTCCTTATTTCCCTACAATTGCTCCGACGCTTGTTGGCCCAGCAGGTGCATTACCTGCTCAGCATACTCGACAATATGCAATAAACCTCCCTGAAGGAAGCAGCACTGTTGGACATGACAATAATCGGAAATGGGGAAGACAGGGTCTTGATCTTAATTCTGGCCCTGGAAGTGTGGATGTAGAAGTGAAGGACGATAGAGTAACTTTACCAGTTAGACAAAATTTTATTGCGCCACCACATGCCTTTGTGGACGAGCATACGAGAATGTATCAAATGCCTCCAGGTGTTGGAATAAAGAGGAAGGAACCAGAGGGCAGTTGGGATGCCGAACGATCTTCATACAAACAATTGTCATGGCAATGAGCTTTTGCTGGTATCATTTCTCAGCGACTTCGGCATCCAATGAGCTTGTATGTGCTTGCTTCTCGCCTTAAACGACCTGCTTTGTTTATCACCTGCAGCTCTTTTTCTTTTGATATTAAGGTGCTGTGTTTTCATTTGCAGAGGCAGCTGCATGTGGTACTTGGGTTCGTGTACTGCACCCTTGCTGGAATATACAATTCATACATGGATACTTTCCTTGTGATGATGTGAATGTGAGAGGAACGATGCTTTGATGTAATTGCTGTAAATGTTCATATTTCATACTTTCCTGGAAACAATTTTCCTTGGCATTGGCAGTTGCTTTGCTAGATTTTCTTAGCTGTCAGGGACTCAGGCATGCTTCTAATTTGCTTGGGAGGGTATGACTGGAGATGGAAACGGTATAGGTCCTGGGCCTCAAGAAACATCTGAAGCCGCTGTAATTAGGTTCAGTTTGTTTGTTTTTAGTTTCTTATGACAGACCAATTTTCTCTTTTTGGAGCACATCTGCAGCCTTACATATGATTTAGATGTAACATGTATTTTATGTGGAAACGTTACATCTGTTTGCCCATGTAACTCTAGTGGACTATCCTGGGGGATGACACTCGATCTGCAGTTCCTGAATGCCTGTAAAGCGCATTCTGGTGTATCCATCGGTGCCTTGCAATGGTTAAGAAATTTAGTGGACCGATAAGCAATGATCTGTTGCTATTTTTCAGTCATTGAGGTTCGCTGATGGTTTCTAGGCGCTTTCTGCGAGGCAAATTATTTTGTTTTTCATGTCAAAAAAATATTTTGTTTTTGAAATAGTTCAATATGCAGGTGGTTATATTATTTGCTGCATGCCTTCCTCTACCTGATTACCTCCAAAGTTGTTGGTCGTCCTCGTCCATGACGCTTCCTACTGTGTAGATGTTTGATGACTAGAATGCTGTTGTCCATATTTCCTGACATCTCGCTGTGGCTAGCTCCTTGCTGGCTGGCTCGATTATGTATGGCGTGTCTTTTAGTTCTTGGTAAGCTTAATTAACCTGATTCCTCTACTAATTAATACTACCAATAAAAATCAACTCAACGGAATGTTTACTTCCATTCCGACCATAGAATGATCAAATAGTCTGCTGATTCGTGATTGCCGTACAAATTTCTGTAACCTGGCTAAAATAGTCTGCTGACTACTGTACAAATTTCTCTAACCTGGCGAGGAAATCAGGAAAGCCAAAGAAAGATTATACTCCTATGAGCAATTGAACGAGCCGAAGGGGAAGAGAAAACGAAGCACGAAACGGAAGGGAAATGCCAAGCCAAAGGACACGGACGGTCGCTGTCGCGGTCCCCGGGCAGGCGGGGCACACTCGCTAGCTGACACGAAGCCACGAAGGCAACAGGAGAGTGATGTGACGAGCTCTGGACGCCCCCTTTAATCACGCAACAGCGGCAACCGCTCCGCGCAGCGCAGGACGGACGAGACGTCACGGCACGGCACGGCACGAGGCGCGCGGAAAAGCAACAGGAGAGAAAGCCGAAGGCGACAGGGGGACAGTCGCGATCAGTTGTGGTGGTGGTGGCCCCCCGGGCCGTGACAACGCTGCGTCCACCCCTCCATTCTGCCGCTCTCGCCTCGCCTCTCTCTCCTCCGCTTCTCGCCGAGTCACCTGTCCCTCTCTCCTCCCGGTTTATTAAAACAGTGGAGCACTGTGCTTTTGCTGCTGCTACTGCTGCTTTGGAACAGCAGTCTGCGTCGCCGTCGCCCACCGCACGTTGCACGTAGCTAGTCCAGTCGTGTCTCGCGAGTGGCTGCCGCTCGCTTTCATCAGCCCGTGTCCCTTTCCTCAGCTGCCTGTCTTGCTATAAAGACTTGGACTCGATCAGCCTTGTTTTCCCCCCGGATGACGAGTCTTGAGAGTGACCACGCAACGTAAGTCAGCAGTTGTTACTGTGCTAATGGAGACATTGTTTACTCAAACAGGAGACTCGAGCTTGCTTGGTGGAATTACATTTTTTTAACCTTATAAGAAAATTTTCGAAAATAAAAATGTTCTAATATCACTACGTAGAATAATTTATTTTAAATATTTAGAAAAAAAGATTTATAATAATAAAGAAGTTGTACATTCATGACCCCCACTAACTAAACCGGGCTCGGATCTTGCAATAAATAATTCTAGCAATCTGTTATGAGAGTTTAAAGCTAAAAGTTTGACTTCGAATTGTTAGCATAAATTCAGCCTGTTTAAAAAATAGACAGGAGAACTTGTACTGTGCAGACAGTACTTTTCTCTCACTAACAGGATTTGCTTTAAACCTACCAATATAGCACAAGCGCACAATTGCGTTTCTTTTCAGGGGAGGAAATTGTGCTCCATGTCTTTCTTTTTTTTTCTCATGGGCATAATTAAGTGGAGTCTTGTGGTAGAGAGAGGCGTTGGCCCCCCAAGCTTTACCTTGTCAAAGTTAGAAAGCGAGGGTTTGTTTGTTGGTACGGTATGGTTGGTGGGGAAAACTCCTCCCACTTGAATTATTAACGCAGCTTGAGCCTTGAGATGCATGTGAACGTGATAGAGCTCTTTGCTTTACGTGGCTGTGGCTAATGTACTCGCGATGTGACCGTAAACTCAAGAAATTCATACTCCAGCTGTCCCAAAAGTTCCCTGGAAACATCTCACTTCGGACTACTGACTTTTATAACTTGTGCGTATGGCTTAATAACTGATCACCACGTCACTGAATAAGAATAACCAAGTGGAAATTCTGAGCAGACTCTGAGCTTCTTCATGTGTTGAATAGTAGTGATACTAATCCGGGGTCAACCATGTTTGCGACTCAGGCAACTTTTTTCTTCAAACTTTCAATTTTTTCGTCACATCGAACATCACATCGTTCTAATTCCTTTAAACCTTCAATTTTAACGTGGAACTAAACACAGTCTCACAAACCTTCAATTTTAACGTAGAACTAAACACAGCCTCACAATAGCAAAAGCTGAATCATTTCACCCACAAGGCACGAAAATGGCCAAATGTGTTCCCCGGTCACATGTTTGACCGAACCTTTACGCGACGAGGCAGGCAGCAGGTGGCGGAAGACGCGCGTGGCTCGCCACCGAAACCGAAACACACTAGAGAAGATCACCGCATTGGAGTAGTAGTACACCAGTACACTACTCCCTTCGTTTCACAATGTAAGTCATTCTAACATTTCTCATATTTATATTGATGCTAATAAATCTAGACATATATATTTATATAGATTCATTAACATTAATATAAACGGAATTGCTAAATATTTGTTGACAGATTTTTTATGGCTAAATCTTTCACTTTCTAAACCGTTGGATGTGTCCTAAATTCATACTAACAGTTTAATACGCATCAAGATATGTGCTTTTAGGAAGAAAAACAAAACCATATTTAGGGATAGATCATGTGACCTCATGGGATGAAGGCGTGACTAACCCATTGGGCTACTATATTTTTATGATCTAGATTGAACTTACATCTTATTTATACTATAATTACATGCGAGTTTACATATGTAATTATAGTATAAATATAGTGTAATTATGAAAATTACATTGTAATTATGTTACAGTTACATTTGATAGATTTTTAGGCTAATTTTTAATCGAATGTTGTATAGATAATCCTTAATATGAATGTGAGAAATGCTAAAATAACTTGTATCGCGTGAAACGGAGGGAGAAGTACGCCCGGGCACCCACACCCACTGAAATCGTTTCGCTCCCATCCGATTCCGCGCCCCACAACCATGCAGAAAAGCGAGATCTACTACGGGTGACCCCACCACATGGCCGAGGGAAGGGAGGGACGGGAGATCTACCCCCTAGTGGGGGAATAATGTTTGGTCCCCTTTGGTCTCTCTCTGTGTGATAAAAGAAAGAGAGAGCGGAAAGGAGGAGAAAGTATGCGCACACTCTGAAAAGGAGGGAGGAGGTTGCTGTCCTAGGATCAGGGCCCCATCTGCTCCCCACGGCGAGCGTGAGTGACAACATGATTTTCCTCCTGTCGCTTCTCTCGCAATGCGGGGAACAGTACTACTACTTCCCAGTTCCCAGCTGGTTAAAGTGGTAAATGCACCGTGATACCATGAGCCTTTGCGGTGGCTCGTGACATCGATGGTTTGTTCCAGTAGTTTGTAGACTTTCAGGCCTTGACAACATGCAGCTGGTGGGCCAAGAAAACGGGGGTGGCCCGTGATCATAGGGCGATTTGGCGTGGGGCACGGCCGGATGGGCTACGTGACTCCAACTACCACTCGCGGGCCGGAAATTTCAACTCGACGCTGGAAATAGTGGGCCAAACTCTGCTCCGTACGAACGGCGGCGGTAACAACGAACCTCGGCCACCGCACCTCCGCAGGGCTCTGCTTGTCATATTGTCAGCTCGTGATATATCCTTGGTAGGCCTGTGACTTCAGTTACGTCGGAACTGTCTCAGTGCTCTCCATTTGATCCCATTCCCACATGACCATAAGGAGGAGCACCATCTTTATAAGCTATGATTAAGATACATATATATATATTTATCTAAATTTATTAGTAAAAGTTATTATATTTTGGAACAGACCTCAGCCGGATGAATATCAACGGAAACTCCTCAACGAGGACAACATAGTATTAGTAACTACCAAAAGAGCACTGTAATACTTGAGATCAACATGATCTACAAAATGAAACAAAGCCTTTGCAACCTCAGCCAGGGGTGGATCCAGCATGGGGGCGGCGGAGTCTCGAGCCCCTACACTGGTGTGAAGACTATAAGAGCTCCACGAAGACTCTGCTAAATTTTTTTTACCATATGTAGATGGGAATGAACTGTAACTCTATCTAATTTGCTCAGAGCTCACTACTATTTTTTTTTGGATCCGCCACTGCTTCTCAACTGTACTCCTATTTTGGTGCATCATTCGGAATGATACTTTCATCGATCCGAACAACACCACACAACCTCACGATCTCCACTTGAGCACCCGCCATTTGTTTTGACAATTGTATATACATGTACATATGATGCCACGATTATAATAAATGACCATGGTGCGCTTGAAAAAGCAGCATGTACTATCAATGTACTATCCTCTTTGGAGCCATGTACCGATGTCGTACTATCAAAAGAAAATTCATTTAGGCCTTGTTTAGATGGGTAATTTTTTTTATCATATCAGATATACCGACACATATTTGAAGTATTAAACATAGTCTAACAACAAAATAAATTATAGATTCCGCTAGTAAACCGCGAGACGAATTTATTAAGCCCAATTAACTTGTCATTAGCAAATGTTTACTGTAGCACCACATTGTCGAATCATGACGCAATTAGGCTTAAAAGATTCGTCTCGCAATTTACATGCAATATGTGCAATTGATTTTTTTTATCTACATTTAATACTCCATACATATATCCAAACATTCGATGCAACAACATGAAAATTTTTGTTTTGGGAACTAAACATGTTTGTTTTGTTCGCTTAGGAGTTAGAACCAAATTTATCCTATTAAAATATTAGCAGTGCTAAATTTGGTAATATTGAATTTAAACTAGACTGAATTTAATAACAAATTTAAACGTGTACTACATGTAACACTATCTATGTTACCGAATTTTTAATATGAAAAGAATACAGCTTAAATCCAAATAAGCCATACGACTGTAGTAGTACTGTTATGGTACCAGCAATCTACCACGTCGATGTCAGCGCCCGAGGAAACGAGCACACAAACACAACCCCCGCACAGTAAACCGGCACCGACCCCACCCGCAGTGACAGCACCAAGCAACCGACCTCGCCCACCCGCACCGCACCACACCCACGCCTTCCATGCGCGAGCCGAGCCGATCCCCGGAAATGCCCCCTGCTTTCCTCTCCAACCACGACCGCACCGCATCCCCTCCTCTCTCTCTCTCTCGACATCGCTTGCTCGCTCGCGCGCCGTCTCTGCCGCGATCTCTCTCTCTCTCTCTCTCCTCCCATCCCCTCCGCCTCTCCCCTCCTCTCTCTCTCTCTCTCTCCCCTCCCATCCCGAATCGCCGAATTCTCTCTCCCCCCCGCGGCGGATCGCCACCAGAGCCGTCGCCGAGCTCGCCCGTGTGCGCGGCTGCCGAATCCCCCAATTTCCCGACCGAATCCTGCCGTAATTGGGGGTCGATTCGGCCGAATTCGTGGGGGACTCCGGTTCGCTGTTTCATCCTCCTCCGGGAGGAGGGAGGTTGTTTCGTCTGGGGTTTGATTGGGATTGAGGCGAATTCGGGCGGTGCGCTTGGTCATGGAGGAAGGCCCCGTGGATCTAGGGTTTCGGAGCTAGGGTTACGGCCGGCGGCTGCGAAGTCGCCTGTGGCGGCGATCTGGTGATGGTGCAGCGGGGCGCCGGGAGTCGGCGAGGCGGGATTGTTGGCGGGGAAGATGCGGGGCTATGCATGGGCGACGCCAAGGCGGTGGTGAGGGGTGCGGCAACAGGCGGCTTCTCGTTCGGGGCATGTGGCCAGCAACTCGTGTAGAGGCAGCTACACCACCGGCACAGGGACCAGCTTCTCCTCCTCCCCGCTTACCTGTTCCTCCACCCCTGACGACTCCTTGTCTGCCGGCACCCACGACTCCTCCAGCGGCGGCTCATAACCAGGACTGGGTCGATTCTCCAAGGCCCGTGTCACCCGACTCCTTTGTAAAGGTGCCTACTTTGTGGAAACACTTTGTAATTTGTTGGTGTTGTCGATTCGTTCTTTATTAGTTTCTATCTGGAAAATTTCATCTATGCAGAGTAATTAGATTGCCTGCCTGCTTGGGACATTCAAGATTTAGTCTAGTACATGTCACGACGAAAGTTTAAGTAAACGTGAGAGTTGTATTGGGTGGTTCGAGTTAACTTGGATGCTAACATGCTAACGTTAATCTGCCCTATAAAATAGGGTTCCTTTTCATGATTGGATTGGAACATGTGGGCATCTTTGTTTTACCAATGTGCGTTCCATATGTATCAGGTGTGCACAAAGTTGTGAACAAGTGACCTAGATTGCTCTTACTATTTTGGAACATATCAATTGTCTATCGTTTAGAGGAGTAACACCATGCTGTTTTAGGCATTCTACAATTTTTCCAGGCAAATACATCCATGAATATGTATTCAAAGGTGTTACTGGTCAATGGTAATACATAAGTATGGCGAGGATGTAGTGGTTATGTTGGTCTGCACATGCAGTGAATGGTGTGTCTTGCCCATCTGGACGTCATGATAACAATGCAATTCACCTACTGTGTGCACACTTCTTAATTTTCCTAATGTAAAGCATAGTAAGCAATTCCCAACATGGTAGTAATTATATTTGATTTCTATTCCAAATTACAATGATATTGCAGAAGAAGAAATTGATATTTTGTTTTTATGGGAAGAGTGTGTTTTTGGGGTCTATATATGGTGTATGTTATTGTAGACAAATGCTTGGAAAAACCAATACACTGTAAAGCTTAGCCTTGCATGGCTATATGAGGAAACAATGTAATTCATGATGATTATCTTCATCTGAAGCATCATATACGTTATCATACCTCGCTTTATGGGAAAATTGTCTACACCATGGTAATGTTGTGGGCCATTTTTAAAGTATTCAGTGACAACTACACAAGGTTATTGGTTAATAAGCATGCTCTATACCTTGCAGTCGACCAAGGTCATTGGCATGGTTAAAAACACATGTTCTAGTGGAACCAACGTCTTGTTACATGTTTAACATAGTTATCGTTCCTTGGGTTCACAATCATGTTATAAAACTGAATTGTATAGTGTTTCCGAAACACATGGTTGCTTTTTTTTTTTGTATGCAACTTTTTGCTTGTAAGATACTAACTTCTTGCATAACATAACAACTGATCCCTCAGTCATAGAGACCTGCTTTGCTCCATGCTTGTGAAGTACTAAACTATCGTGTGCCGTGCGAAGGCTATTTTCTTTACAAGAGGTAATAAATCATTTATTGATTTTTCAGGACGGACGTGAGTTCAGAGTGGGTGATTGCGCTCTTTTTCGGGCTGTCGATGTACCCCCTTTCATTGGATTGATACGCTGGATTGAGAAACAGGAAGAAGGTTATCCCAAGTTGCGTGTAAGTTGGCTTTACAGACCTGCCGACATTAAGCTCAACAAGGGCTTACAACTCGACGCTGCTCCAAACGAGATCTTCTATTCTTTTCACCAGGACGAGACATCGGCTGTCTCACTTCTCCATCCTTGTAAAGTTGCCTTTTTGCGAAAAGGTGCAGAGCTGCCAGCTGGAACTTCTTCATTCGTATGTTGGCGCGTTTATGATATTGACAACAAGTGTTTATGGTGGCTTACTGATCGTGATTATATAAATGTAAGTTCTATATTTTACTTCTTTTTCTGCCTATTTGTATTTGCTGCTTCATGTGTTCAACTTATGCCCAGGAACGACAGGAAGAGGTAAATCGGCTACTGCACAGAACAAGGCAAGAAATGCATACTGCCGTGCAGCAAGGTGGGCGCTCACCGAAGCGGCTAACTGGCCCATCAGCTTCCCAGCAATTAAAGGCTGGTTCAGATGGGGCCCAAAATTGCGGTTCATCTAAAGGAAAGAAGAGGGAAAGAGGTGAACAAGGAATTGATCAAATTAAGAGAGACCGTGATCGCACCCTTAAGACTGATGACACTGAGCCTGGAAACCTGAAAGGAGACAATATGAAGTCTGAAATTGCAAAGATTACAGAAAAAGGTGGACTTCCTCATGCTGAAGCTGTGGAGAAGCTAGTTCATCTCATGCAACTTGATCGAACTGAACGGAAGTTAGATTTTGCTGGTCGAGTAATGCTTGCAGATGTTATAACAGCTACAGAAAACCCTGATTGCCTTGGCAGATTTGTGCAACTAAGGGGCCTTCCTGTATTTGATGATTGGCTTCAAGAGGCTCACAAAGGGAAGTCTGGTGAAGGTGGTAGTCCTAAAGAAACTGATAAGCCTATGGAAGAACTTCTCCTAGCGCTGCTTCGTGCATTGGCGAAATTACCTATTAATCTTAATGCCTTACAAAGTTGCAGTATAGGGAAATCTGTTAACCATCTGCGAAGCCATAAAAATCCAGAGATACAGAAGAAGGCAAAGTGTCTTGTTGAAAATTGGAAGAAGCGTGTTGATGCTGAAATGAAGTCAAATGATGCGAAACCAGTTGTATCTGGCCAAGCTGTATCCTGGCCAGGGAAACCTGGGTTTGCAGAAATTTCTAGTGCTGGAAACAGACGAAGTGGCTCAAGTGAGCCTAATCTGAAAAGCCCAGTGTCTCAGCTTTCTTCATCGAAGGCCTTGACCGTCAAACCTGGAGCGTCTGATACTACTGTGAAGTCGAGTCCCTTGATATCTGGTTCTTCAAAACTACAGCATATTCAACCAGGAAATGCTGTAACCAACTTGAAGGAGCAACCCTGCAAATCATCTGGTGGGACTTGTAGCCCTGAGTTGCATACGGTGAAAGAGGAGAAAAGCTGTAGTTCAAGTCAGTCTCTGAACAACAGCCAGTCATGCTCTAGTGAACATGCGAAAACAATTGGTTCTTCAAAGGAGGATGCCCGTAGTTCAACTGCAGCTTCTGGCATTGCTGGTAGAACATCTGGTAGTTCCTCACGTGTCCATCGAAGAACAAACAATGGGATTCTTAGTTCAGGAGGCCAAAAGGAAGCTACTGTGGCAAGGTCTACCTCACTTGACCGCTCTCTGTTACCGGAAAAAGCATCACAATCTGTCACAGCATGCGAGAAAGGAACTGACACACCATCAGATCAGGGTAATGGGCATAGATTAATTGTCCGGTTTCCAAATCCTGTCCGTAGCCCTGCTAGAAGTGCAAGTGGGGGTTCTTTTGAGGATCCATCATTTACTGGGAGTAGAGCTTCGTCTCCTGTGCTTGCAGATAAGCATGAACAGAGTGATCGCAGAGTAAAAATGAAAACTGAGAATTCAAATCCTCATTTAGGCAATGATACAAATGCTGAATCTTGGCATAGCAATGATGTTAAAGGAGCTTCAGTTTCTGAGGAAGGTGATAAATCACCTTATGCTATGCTGACCGATGATCGCAGTAGGACAACTGAAGAAGCTGGCAAAGATGCATGTGCTTCCCGAGTTGTTTGCTCAGATGCTAATGAAAAGGCGGCTTGCTCAAGTGAAAATGGGGGGAGAAATTCGTTCAACCCTATGAATGCTTTGATTGAAATCAAGTACTCTGAAGCTAGTCATTCCTTGCAAGCTGGAGATGATACAGCAATGAATCTTCTTGCCAGTGTTGCTGGAGAAATATCTAAATCTGAGTTGATTTCTTCATCTGCTTCACCTAGAAATTCACCAGGAAATGAAGAGGGCTGTGAAGGAGATAACATTGGGAAGCTAAAAGTACAAAGTGATATGGGCTTGTCACGGCATGCAGGGCCAACAAATGATGCTGAGAAAATCATCTCTGATAAGGGTGAGAAAATTGGTGCAGGTTTGGTCGCAAAGGAGGAACAACACCTAGGGGATGCAAAGGACAATAAGGTCACATCTTCTGGGCTACCCTCTCCACCTGGAATAGATGTTAAGGCTGTTGAATCTCCTGCTAAGACTGAAAATCATGAAGTGAGGACTACAGATAAAGGTGGTGATGGTGACAAGTCGGTCACAAAACAGCCAGTTGATATCAAGATTGACGCAAAATTGAATATATATCCATCTACTACAAGTGAATTACGTGGTGGAGATAAACAATCTCATGGTTTGTTAAAGTCAACAGATCAGAAGAATCGCCAGTGTCTACCAGATAATTCAGAAGCCATTGACCGATCTGGTGACAGTGCTGCTGTTAAATTGGATGTGGAGCCTTCATTTTCATCTTCGACCGTGGAGGTGAATAAGGCTGATGGTTTGCTGGTTGGTAACGCAGTGCTGAGAGAGGATGAAAAGAAGGAACAACCTTCTTCCACTTCAGCTGATGCTACAAAACTAGCTGTACCAGCAGGTGTACCATTTGGTCCAGAAAATGGGATTAGTTCTAAAGAATTAAAAGACAATTCCAGTGAATCAAGTAGTCATGCAAGACCTGGAACTACTGTCTCACAGGATACTGAACGTAGTGCAAGGCGCAGCTCAAAGAAGTCGAGTGATGATGCAAGTGGGAACGAGGACCTTGTCTCATCAGATGATGGTTCTTCTTTTGCTGCCAAGATCAGGCCAAGTGCTACAGCCAAGCTTGATTTTGACTTGAATGAAGGAATACCTGGAGACGACGTGCATCAGTCTGAGGCAGAAACCTCTCCTGCTGTGTGTTCTTCTGCAATTAATTTACCTTGTCTTTCTCCATTTATATCACCTATGTCAAGTGGGCTACCTGCTCCGATAAAAGTAGCTGCTACAGCTAAAGGTCCCTTTGTTCCTCCTGAGAACCTACTAAGATTTCAGCCTGAGACTGGCTGGAAAGGTTCAGCAGCCACAAGTGCATTTCGTCCTGCAGAACCAAGGAAAATTTTTGAGATGACTCTCAGCGCACCTGGCATTCCAGTTTCTGATGCTGCAGATAAACACCGCCCAGCACTTGACATTGACTTAAATGTAGCAGATGAGCAATTTCTTGAGGAAGATATCTCTCAGAGTTCTGTTCAGACAACTGGTTCGGAATCTGGCAACACTAGAAGAAGCAATGGTCCTGTACGAAGTGTTGGTATTGAACTTGATTTGAACAGAGCTGATGAAGTTGCAGAGAACCATTTTGTGTCGAACACTCCCCACAGGGTCGAAGTCCCATTGTTATCGTCAAGACCGTTACCTGCAATTTTCTCTAGTGCTGATACAAATGGCTCAAGGGATTTTGATCTCAATAATGGACCAACTCTAGATGAAACTGGCACGGAACATGCAGCAAGGAGTCTATCATCTAAAAATACCAGCAGTATACCATTCATACCTCAAGTTGCTGGCGGTAGAATGAACAGTGCCGAGATGAGTAATATCTCTCCATGGTTTGCTTCTGCACACCCTTATGCTCCTGTAGCTGCACAGCCATTTTTACCATCTAGAGGAGAACAGCCTCACCCAGTTGAGACAGCTGCTGGAAGTGGAACCCAGAGGATCATTACATCCTTGGCAGATGGTGTCCAGCGTGGAAGTGATCCCTGCCGTGCTCCAGTTATTTCTACTTCACCAACCATGGTTTTTCATCCTCCTGCGTATCAATATGCAGGATTCCCTTTTACTCCTGGTGTGCACCTTCAAGCACCGGGGTTTTCAATTGGCTCGACATCTTATGCCAATTCAGCACCTGCAGGAGTTCCATATTTTCCTAGCATTGCTCCAACACTGTTAGGGCCAGCAGGTGCATTACCTGCTCAACATACTAGGCAATATGCAATAAACCTTCCTGAAGGAAGCAGCACTGTTGGACACGACAGTAATCGGAAATGGGGAAGGCAGGGCCTTGATCTTAATTCTGGCCCTGGAAGTGTAGATGCAGAAATAAAGGACGAACGAGTATCTTTACCAGTTAGACAAAATTTAATCACGCCACCACATGCCTTTGGGGAAGAGCATACAAGAATGTACCAAATGCCAAGTGTTGGAATAAAGAGGAAGGAACCAGAAGGCAGTTGGGATGCAGAACGTTCTTCATACAAGCAATTATCATGGCAATGAGCTTTTAACTGTTATCATTTCTCATTTCACAGTGACTTCAGCTTCCAGTGAGCTTGTATGTACTTGTATTCCGTCTCCAACAACCTGCTTGTTTCTCACTTGCAGCTCCTTTTCTTTTGAAATTAAGGTACGGTGCTTTTATTTGCAGAGGCAACTGCATGTGGAACTTGGGCTCTGGTGTGTTGCACCCTTGCTGGAATATACAGTTCATACATGACCCTGTGATGATGTGAATTGTGAGAGGAATGATACTTTGCTGTAAATGTTCATCATATTTCATACTTTCCTGGAAACATTTTTCCTTGGCTTCAGCAGTTGCACTGCTAGATTTTCGTAGCTGTCAGGCATATGCTTCTAATTTGCTCCGATATGACTGGAGATGGAATGGTATAGCCGTATAGGTCCTGAGCCACAACAAACATCTGAAGCCGTTGTAATTAGTCCAGCTTGTTTGTTTAAAGTTTCTTATGACAAACCATTTTCACATTGTTGGGCAAATCTGCAGCCTTACATATGATTTTAGATGTGACATGTATTTTTCGTGTAACCGTTGCATCAGTTTGCTCATGTAACTTTATGGACTATCCAGTAGACTGTCTGCAGTTCCCGAATGCTTGCAAGGGGCATTCTGGTGTAACCATCTCTGCCTTGCAGTCATAAGAAATTTAGTAGACCAAGAAATAATCTATTTCTGTATCTTTCGTTATTAAGCTTCCCTATTGGATTCCATGCGATTTCATTGATGCAAATTACTCCTATTTTGCTTTTGCCGAAATAGGAGTAATTTGCATCAATGTTTGTCATGTTTGTCCTGTTCACCTTCCTGGAGCCTGAGGCGGTACTGCAACGGTTGTGTACACAAATTCGAAACTATTACTTCCATGTCATCCTGCAACAGTTGTACACAAATTCGCAACTATGATCAGGGCGACTGCACCTGTACAATAGTTTAGAAAGTTTATTTAGTCGCTGATAGGTATCAAAGGTGAGTGGAGTTGTTTTTCGTTGTAATGGAATTATTATATGCCTTTAAGATAACCTCGAATCATTTTCTTTTGCAAAACAGTTTTTCCTCTCCAATCCTATATTTCTCGACATGCCGTCGTGGTCAGCTCCGTGCTATGACCGTGAGCCCAGAAAATCAGCGGCGCATTTGCGTCAGAATTTATGTAGCGCAATTTAGCCCAAACTACAACTGGAGCCTGGACTTCTGCATAAAACAGTAAAACAACAAAACACTAGGGACGGCGAGCTTTGTAGTTGCTGCTTTCAGTTCTACCATCGAATCATAAAATGTTCTAATGACGATACTGAGACTTCAGATCGATTACAAAATCTGTGATTTTGTCCTGACAGAACGGTGTCTCCTTGTTCCTTTGGCATCTATCAGACTTTCTAGACCAACAAGAGCTAATAATAAGAGCATTGTGCGGTACATAAGCAGACTAGTTTAACCATCTAACTCTAGTAATTAATTACCAAAAGATGCAAATATACACAAGAACTTTGCATCTAACTCTACCAGCACATTCAGACTCCAAAGGTTGCCAGCTTGAGGTTGCACCCAGAACATTGCATCATGTAAGGGACATCTCGATCAATCAGGATTTGAAGCATGACATTTTCCTTCCACGGAACATGTTCCTGCAGTTGTAAGGCACGAAATTAACATTTAAAGGATGCCGTTTCGGACTCCATGCCTTAGTTTTTCTTTAAATCCCTTTTTTTTTGGTGGAGGTGCAAACGAGAAATTAAATTTAGAAAGCAAAACAAAACATACAAATATACATCAAGCATGCATCTAGGGTGAATAAACATTCATGGTCAATTTTTTCATCGTGGACAACTGTTAACAATCTTGTGAATAACTCTTAGTAATACAAAAAAGGGCATTCACCCTTTTTACATGGCATGTATTTGATCTGTCATGATCTTTAATTAACTTCGACCAGAAATTTCTTTTGCAATATATTTCTACCGACAAAAACTTATGATCATATGTAGTATGTTGAAATACAATCAAGGGATATCACATTTGCATAAACAAACCTATACTTTTTAGCCGATTTTACAAAGTTTTGACTCTTGAAAGACAAGAACACCACATGAATTTGGACAAAGGGTGTATATCATAAGATCTAAACTTATATATATTGTAGGACAAAAGGCATATAGAAAATCAATGTCCATAGATAGCCTTACGAGTTACGACCAGCCAAAATAAAGAGATCATGGACTCATGGGATAATAAGACTCACCACCACCACCACAAAAGCTAGGTTCTTTTATATAGACGGGATACATCCTAAAGAAGAATTGCAGTGATGCAAACACCCATCACAGAATCATATATACTTACATCATAGAGCATCCTTGTCGTGATTTCTTTTTCTTCTTTTCCCTCTGCTTAGTTGGAGGCTGGATTACTACCTTGATAGCAGCATCAAACACACCTTTGACATTCTGCGCGTCATTTAAATACAACAAAGTAAGAATTTCAGCAAGTCGCAGAATTTTAACGGTTCAAATGAAGTTAAGACTACTACAGCAAGGGCACACCATTTCACTATGACTATTTTACCTGTTGTGTCTTTGAGCTGCACTCAATGTAATAAGCAGCACCTATTTGTTTTCGAAGTTCTTCACCCTACAAGAGGAAATATCAGAGACATTTTTTTTAGTCATCTCAAAGAAGACAGACTTTTTAAAAGCTAGAATGTGTTTCAACATTTCCTCTCAAAAGGCTGACAAATAAGGATAACCAAAGTTATAACGCTCTGGTTTCTCACCAATCAATAAAGTCACTAGAGATATACCTGTGCTGTGGTAACAGGTATCATGCCAGGATGGTCCAACAAGTAGTGCTTGTCTTCACGGAGATCTGTAAGCCAATTAAACAACAAGATGATTTCCAAAACTAACACTATAATTAACAGAAATTCAATAAGATACTCAAAACATGATATTAGACCAAGGTTTTGATAGGATACCAGGATTCCACATGCCAGCAGAATTGAAATGGTTTTGTTAGGATACAAGGATTCAAAATTCCAGCAGAATTGAAATGGTTTTGACAGGAATAAGAAATCATGATTACAATTGGTTTTATGAAAACTGCTAGTCTATATTCATGGGTTTTGTACTCTTATCTCATAAATGATTCATACTCCAACATAACTGACTTTCCCATTATTGCGTATAAAGTATAAACACATAATGCATGCAATTTCAAAAATAACTTCGGAGCATCCACTAAGCTGCACTAGAAAGAGCAGTTTTAGCCTTTTAGGTGAGTTCCATACCAACAACTATTTTGTGACCAGCTATCTAGATGACTGTCTACACTTTTAGTAAGCTGCACTAGAAAGAGCAGTTCTAGGTCAGTTCGTTACCTGCTATTTGGTTATCAACTACACCGATAATTGTATTGCGCATTTAGTAAGATGCACCAGATAGAGCAGTTCTAGGTAAGCTCCTTACCTACTGTTTGGTCATCAACTACACATAATATAACCTGTGTCTACATTACAAGGACCACTATCAGTAGATTGAAAACCTAATTATAAAACCACTACCAGTAGATTGAAAACCTAACTGAACTCCAAACCACAGAGACAAAAAGATGCTAACTACTACATAAGGTGATTAGATGTATATCATACTACAGCCCCAATTCCCATTTCTAATCATCGACATGCAGTTTAATTGAAACAAATGTTTTTCTTGTCAACAAAACTCACCCAATTTTGTGCCAACCAACACAATGGGCACGCCGGGTGCATAATGCTGTAGCTCCGGTATCCACTGAAAGGGAAGAACAAAGCACACAAAATACACATATCTTAGTATTTTCAAACAAACAAAAATATACCGCAAGGACAAGTCCAAGAAGTCAAAATGGCACATTCAGTACCTTCTTCATAATATTTTCATAGCTAGCTCGGCTCACAAGAGAGAAGGCAAGCACGAAAACATCAGCACCACGATAGCTCAGAGGCCTGAGCCGGTTGTAATCCTCTTGCCCTGGAAAAGATTGCATCATGTTAGTTTTACGTTATCAAAGAATCACCGAAACGCAAAATTTTCAACCAGAATAAATAATTGAAAAGGGGAGAAAAGAATCTTGAATTCCAGGAAATACAAAGCAATCAAATCAGGAACTGAAATTACCAGCAGTATCCCAGAGGCCCAGATTCACCGTGGTGCTGTCCACAACAACGTTTGCGCTGAAATTGTCGAACACCGTTGGTATGTAGTCCTGCCAAATCAAATGCCCGTCAGATTTTTTTTTTTAAAAAAACAGTGATAATTATCCAAAATTCACTACAAGAACGGAGCAAAAATACCCGCTACAAGGAAACACCTCCAACAAAAATATACCGAGAAAAATCGAAATTCTGTGTAACTTCAAGAAAACAAAATCAGCAAAAAAAAGGAAGTAGAGGAAGCCTTTTGACTCCAAACGAAAGTTCCTACTCGTTTGGCAAGAAACCGATCAAGAAAGATCAAGTCTTTTGCACCCAAAAAATCCTGATACAGCAACAGGGAAGGGGGAGAGAGAGGAGAAAACAAAAGAAAAGAAGAGAATGAGAAGGAGAAAGATTTGCTTTACAGTGGGGAACTTGTTGCTGGTGTAGCAGATGAGCATGCAGGTCTTGCCCACGGCGCCGTCGCCCACCGTGACGCACTTGATGAACCGGGAGGCGCTGGACGCCATGGCCGCACGCACCTCACTCCCGTTTCACCGAGGAGGAGCGCGTTGCGACTTTGCGAGAGAGAGGGAGGAGACAAGATGGGAGGAGGAGCAAGGAAGGAGGGGGAGAGGGGGAGAAGAGTTGTTCGTTCTTGGTGGTGTTTGGTGCGTGACTTCTCGGCGAAGTGTTTTTAAGAGGGGTCACATGCTTCTCACTCTCACCACCACGCTGCTGCTGTGCCTGTGCTGCCGTTGCCTGCCTAGAGAGTAGAGAAGCGAGCAACCACTGCCCTTTTATCTCGCTGTCCTGTTGGTGCCTAGCTAAGCTACCCCATGGACCGACCATTGGTATCTCCCTTGTCCTTACTCCCTGCTTATTGAATGTTGTTACGGTACATCAGCTTCTTCCCCCCTCGCCCCCTCTAGGAAAGTCCTCGACCATAACGACAGTTAGAGCGTTTTGGTTTGATAACAAAATGTGCCATACCAATTTTTTTTAGTTTGAATAGTAAATGTGATGATTTGGTTTGAAACCAAATGTTTAGTAATGCCTATATTTAATTTGGCACAATTCTAAAATATTCTTCACCACAATTTGAAATTTGGCTCTCAATTAACGTAAATCCAAAAACACTCATTTACAAATCTACCCTACCAAAATATAGGTACTATCAAAACTGTCTAATGTTTGGCACTACCAACATTTTGGTAGGGTACTAAACCAAACAAGCCCTTAATCACTGCTATATGGGTCACATCCTTATATTATTCATATGTATCTATAACAATACCATCATTAAAAATAAAGAATATTGCTCTCTACAAGTTTGGGCTTAAAACCTAGAGTATTACGATATTACAACAGCCAGCCAACAATAGATAGCGGGATCTTTTGCAAACATAAATCGGTTTGGAGATTGGAACTAAAGAAAAGTCGAGAAATGCTTAGGGGTCTTCTGTCTAAACGATAACTTCTTCATTTTTCTGTTAGTACGTTTTTCAAACCGCTAAATGGTGTGTTTTATAATAAAAACATATATACGTTTTTTAAAAAATCAGATAAATCTATTTTTAAAATGTATAATAGTTAATATTTAATAATTATGTACTAATGAGTTACCACGTTTTATGTTCCGCTAATACGCAACTATAAAATGGAGGTTAGAATAGGTCTAAGTGGCATGTCATGCAAAACGCGCGGGAAATTCAGCTAATTTTCTTTAACCATGTAATAGATAAAATGTTAATATGACGTGTATATAGAAGAGCAATATGTATATCAATTCATAGGCTGTACTAAATTAATACCAAAGATATGTCTCACCAAGATTGAGTTAGCTCATTTAATGGTATTGCTAGAAGACTATAATGATTCATTCAAAGTATCTAAGACTACAATAATGCAAAAAAAAGCAAAATCATATCATAACGGTTCGTGCGGTTTGCCTCGGTTGTCGCGAGAACCATCCTTACCAACAGGTTCCGCACCTAAAAACCGTTCAACAATTCGACCAAGTCAAAAGAGCAAAATTTTGATTTTATTATTTGGTAAAAGTTTATTCAAAATTTACCTTTTTTTTGGATAACCAATAGGTTATCGTGGCTATCAATGATATCAACGGCTAGCGGTAACCCCGTCCTACCCTGCCCACAGATTGCTTTAGGAGTATATGATCCAATTTCAGATGAAGTCATACAACAAATTGTAGATAATAGACATGATGGGGCCTAATATATGATTTTGCTAATGCAAATTGTATCTATCCATCCATTCATCTATCTACCAAAACATCTAAGGCCGTTTCTTTTCCCGCTTTTCAACTTTCAATCAGTATATATCCATCCATATAAAAACAATCTCATGCAGAAGGTAAGGATTTCTGCTTCGTTTGGTGATTCCTGATGATGTCCTTTTTGGTGTTGGCATATCGGGCAGAGAAAGTAATTTGTTTCCTCAGATGCTATGGTTTGCAATTCAAGTAAAGTAACTAATCTTCTTCATCTACACACAAAGAAAAAGGAAAAAAAAAGAAATATAACTTATTATTAGGCATCTTGGTAACCCCTGCATCGAGTGAATTGACTATTTAGTTCCTATGGAAATGTCACTTTAAAGATTGGTCATTATAGCATGTTTTAAAAGCCCATGATTAGGGTGCGTTGTAAATTGTTGTTAGATGATGGATGAAACTAATTTATCACAATTATTTAAGGCCACAAATGATTGAAGTAAATATTAGAAATTAAGTTAAAGTTGAGTCTTTTCTAAGAACCACCGTTGAAGAAAGTTTTTAGAAAAATCTTACCGATTTTAGGAACCGTGTCCATGATAATCTATCATCTGGTAGCTAAAAAGAACATACTTTAGAAGGTTATTCCGTAAAGTCGAAATACATGGAGTGGAAGATAATATCTCTTTTTCTTAGAACGAGTGGAAGATAATCGATTTTCCTTTTATCTACTGCAATAGTCAATTGAGTTTAGAGTTAAAATTGGATGTGGGGGGATCTATTACTGTTGGGGCAATTCTCTTGTAAATTTGATGCTTATATACTTTTGTGTTTGATGTTTAGATGGAAATAGAATAACGGGTCGCCCTAGCTGTCTTTGCTCAACATTTTGTGGTTCTGCCGTTTTCTCTCTTTCCACCTTTTTTTGTTGGAAGTTTGCTACCACGCCATATACACCATGATTACAATTTTGTACCGATTTGCCAAATTAATCATTTGTAAATGAAACTCTCATTATTACAAAGGTTGTCGTTGTACCGCCGGAAAGCCGACGATGAATCATGGTGTTTTGTCCTTTCGTTCATTTTCCAACTCATCCATCAAAGAAAAAGAAGACCCCTTTTGCAAATTACCCATTTTGCAGAGTCAAATCATGACAAAAGCATTCACCAACTTACAAAGTCAAATCACGACATATCGTATTTAGTTACTGTCTTAATTTGCATTAGACAATTGCGTGTCCGTTACGATGAGCACAGAACCACAGACTAATGGCGTTAGCAAACACTTATGTGGGGACAAGTACAGTCGTATCAAGAAGTGTAACGCCAAAATGCCAGACTAATCTAGTTTCATGCACTTTGTTGATGCACTGAACCACTGATCTCTGGGCATTTCAAGCCGAAACACAAAGTAGTTTCCGTTGTAAAGTGGCAGTGTGTGTAAAGCATCTTTTCGAGACTTGCAGAGCTAAAAACTACTCACCTGAGCTCTTGTTGCTGTTCTGCAGAGACAAAGCATCGAGCGGTGCCACGAATGAGAACGTGGTTATCTTGTTTGTTCTCTGATTATCTTGATTGACATGAACGAAAAGGCTCGGGTTTATTTGATCTACTTGCCAGGTGGTGTTCTTCGCTCCTAAACGCCATGATTACTAATCAATCTGACGTGTTGATTGTAATTTAGCACGAACGTGGCATGGCCCCGTCCTATTCTCCGACCATCACAGTCATAACAAGATTCAGAAAAACAGGCCTTTTGCGCATTGGACATATGCGTGGTTTGTTTCTACATGTATGATGGATATAAACGAAACTGATTAAGTTTATTACAATAATTTAAGAGCATGAATAAATAAATAAAATAATAAAAATTTGATAAAGCAAAATTTTTAATACTCGTACACATTTAATAGCTTGGGAAACACGCCTATGATAATTTATAATCCGTAAGCTACCGAGTAGATCTGTAATCCGTAGCATTACTGATCTGTAATCCTTAGCACTGTAATATTCCCCTTGGCATAAATATTTATAAGATTCGATCAAACTTTTAAAATTATAACAATAACTTTTTATGGTACTACTACTTGTTTAAGCAAAATGTCTTATATTTTATGACAGAGATAGTAGTCTGCGTTTGTAAAATACAATAGATATATAATAGTATTATAATTCCTTTTGAGGGTAATCTACATATATCAGTTTTTTCTCCTAAGAATTTGGAAAATTATCAATGGTGAAAGTTTCAAAAGTTTGACCGGTTCTTATACTCAACGTCAAATATTTATAACTAAAGGGAGTATCTTTTATGCTGCTACTACGTACCTTTTTTTTAAAAAAAAAGATACTACACAGTACTAGTTATATGTGTTATTTTCACTTATGGATTATGCGTACCACGATTATCAAATTTTGCTTTCTCTAAAAAAAGTTTATACATCGGTGTTGATCAGATAGCTTATTCCGAGATATTTATTAGGTTTGTATATATAATATTTAATTCATCCTTATAAGCAATTGTTCGTTGTTTCAAATCTTCCATAAAGAACGCATTCTTAGCAGCTCATGTCAATTCAGTAAACTTGGAGTAGTGCACTCTACTCGTTCATCAGAGCTATTACAACTCTTTCGTCCGACTCCAATAGAGTAGCAGCTGTATTAAGTTAGTAACCATACAACGCTGTACTAAGTTAAGGCCCCGTTTAGTTTACACCAAACTTTCTCCAAACTCTCAATTTTTCATTACATCACATTACATCCAAAACTTTCCTACTCACGTAAACTTCTAACTTTTTTTTTCAAACTACCAACTTTTTCTAAACTTCTCCCCAATTTTAAGAACTAAACACAGTCTTAGTAATCGTGATTCGTGATTCGTGGGCGGCAGCAGCTGTAGTAAGTTCGTAACCGTACAACGCTGTGCTCCGCCAGCTAGTGGAGTAACTGAGCACCGAGAACCTTAGGCCAAGCCACCAAAAGCATGGCTACAGCCTACAGACTGTTGTCAATGTCAATGCCAATGCCGTTTGCGCAATGCCGCTGCGCAGGCGACGCTGGTGCCGGTTGCCTGCCCACCCGACCGCCAATTACTGCGACCGCACGCACGGCACCGCGAGACTCGCCGACGCAGACACCGGCTGATGCGCGGGCGCCACGCCCACGCAGTAAAACAAAACACACCCAAAAACTGATGGAAAGCTGTGTACGTGACCAGCGTCACATGCCCGGGCGCGCGCGGAATTAAAACGAGACGCGCCGCGATGCGCTTGCGCTTGCTGCGGAAGCCCGGACGTACGGGCGGCGAGGGCGACGACGCGCGCGCGTCCCGTGACGCCGGCACGATCCGGTGCCGGGTGCTCGTGCTCCCCCCCTCGTCGAGGCGCACGTCTCGGTTGGCTTGCGCCCGGTCCGCGTCCGGTCCCGAGTTTAATGCGTACGTGCTGGGTACTAGCGTACCACACCAACACGAGTACACGACAAGCGGCACGAGGGGCCTCTAGTGTTAGGACGGGCCTTCCTCTTGCCATGTGTGCTTTG